GACTCCAACAGAGCATGATATTTTTGAGAAAGTATTTTTGAATAGCAGTCCTCCTCATTTTCAGACACTTTACAAAGCAAATACAGTTCTCTCTTCTACAATAAGTCGTGGTGGTGTTTTGAACACTCCTACAAAGCGATATATTCATAAGTTAGCAGATGAGACAGAGAGGCTTAACACACGCCACATACTACAGCAAAGAGAGACGGATAACTTGCGCAACATAATTCAGAAAAGAAGGGAGCAAAAGAAGGGTAAAAGAGCTGTTTTGAAGGGTCAATTCCACATCTCTACAGAAGAACTCCGGTCGCAAGTAGCAGAAGCAGAAGCAGCAACAACAGCTACATCACAAAAGTCGAAAATATCAACAACTCCACAAGTTACAACATCTATAATTGATCTAATTGATGATGGGAGTGAGGAGGAGCTATTTGACAGTGATATAGATGAATTAGCATGGTAATGGTAGAACTATTTTCAATGTTTTTGAAGCTGCTCATATTTTGAAGGGGTGGCTTACCCCACCATCCCGGTATGGCCATGGCCCCGGTATGGCCACGACCTACGTTATACATTATAATTAAAAACGCTAGCATATAAGCTAGCCTTTTTAGGTAGTTATTCACAATTTTAGATTTGCCATACTAAAAATTTATAACGTAGATCATGGTCAGACCGGCTACATGGCGAGACCGGCTATTTCAATTTTACAGGTAAATTCACAAGCAAATTCACATCACGTGATATATAATTCAAACTTGTAATAATTACTTTAATTGACTTGCTAGAGCTTAATGTTATTAAACTTAGATAATTTATATACTTATATGTTATAATTAGAAATGCTAGCATGTAAGCTAGCCTTATTAGGTAGTTATTAACAATTTTAGATTTGCCATACTAAAAATTTATATGGCAAAAGTTAAAACCTTTAGTAACTTATGTAAAAAGACGCTAGTGTTATTAGCGTCTTTAGATATAGTAGATGACTATTTAAAGTTCCTATATATACAAGGAATATGCTCTAGCCTTTTTATTAAAGGAGTTATGAAGGTTCTAATTTTCGCAAGCATAAGTACCTCCACATACAAATTTGTATGTGATGGTACTAATAGCCGGTCTGGCCATGTAGCCGGTCTGACCACGACCTACGTTATGGCAAAAGTTAAAACCTTTAGTAACTTATGTAAAAAGAACACTAGTATTATTAGCGTCTTTATATGTAGTAGATGACTATTTAAAGTTCCTATATATACAAGCAATATGCTCTAGCCTTTTTATTAAAGGAGTTATTAAGGTTCTAATTTTCGCAAGCATAAGTACCTCCACATACAAATTTGTATGTGATGGTACTAATATCCGGTCTGGCCATGTAGCCGGTCTGACCACGACCTACGTTAAGTTATTAAAGGTTTAAGTTTTACCATACAAAATATTAGTATGACAAATCTACAATTGTGAATAACTTCCTTATACAGCTAGCGTACATACTAGCTTAATTGATTATAACACAGGAGTTTATAAGCTTCTTTGATATAAGAGGGTTAAACCCCAATATATTTATTAGAGGAGTTATAAGGCCTTTTATTTTCGCAACAATAAGTACCTGTACATACAAATTTAGCTGCAAAAGTACATAGGGCGTTTGCACCATTAGACCGCTTACGCCACGACCTACATTACCTTTACATATAATTTTTGCTATAAAGGTACATTAGTGACAGTACGCCATTAACGACAGTATGCCATGACTTACGTTACGTTATATGCTAGCGTTTTTAATTATAATGTATAAGTATATAAATTATCTAAGTTTAAGAACATTAACGTAGGTCATGGTCAGACCGGCTACATGGCCAGACTGGCTACCCCGACCAAAATTGAGGACCAGACCACCAAAACCAACCACCACCACCACCAACACTAGTTACAATGGTCAGGCGCAGGAGTATAAAGGCTCAGGAGCGAGATTTTCGACTTTCTGAAGCTATTTTAGGAATACAGACTGGAAAATACAAATCTGCAAATGCTGCAGCTGTAGCCTTAGGGCTAAGGCCAGACACTGTGCGTAGACATGTAAGTTAGTGGTGTGCAGCATACGCAAGCAGAAGCGCTATTACCCCATCAGCTCCTATCAAAAAACCAAGAAATTATCCTCTTAAAGTGGATTAAGCAGCTTACTGGAAGTGGTTACGCTCCTAGCCATCGGATATTACGTGAGGTTGCAGAGGAAGTCCGGTCAAACAAGTGTCGGGTCTTCCAAACCCAGGCGAGCCGACCTACAGAGTTGACCAGCTCAGTCAAGTCAACTACCAACCCATCAAACCTGCCATAGACTGGCAGACTCGGCTATTTCTAACTAGTGGCTTGGCAGACCCCATCAAACCAACCGGCCCAGCAGCAGACCCGACTGATCCAGCAGAACCGACTGACTCAACAGTCCCGACCGACCCAGCAGACCCGACCAACTCAACAGACGCAAACTCAACAAGAGCACATTCCTAACTTACCTCTTGGGCAAGATTGGGTTCCACGGTTCATTCAAAGGCATCCTAACTTACGTGTTAAGTTAGGCAGGAGGATTGAAGCACAAAGGATGAATGGGGCCACAAACCAGGTGTTGAAGGGGTGGTTTGACGCGTACAAGAGCCTCACAACAGAGCTAAAAATCGAAAATCACAACACCTACAACATGGATGAGACTGGGTTTTCAATTGGAACAATGCAATCAACAAGAATTATTGTGGATTCAAGCCTTAGGACGCGTTTTCAAGCACATCCAGGCCGGCAGGAATGGGTGTCTGCTGTTGAGTGCATCTGCATGGATGGAACAACCACCGACCCCCTCATTATCTTCAAGGGACAGAATGTACTACAGAGCTGGATTCCAAAGGATGTTATAAGCAAATGGCACTTCTCTGCAAATACAAAAGGATGGACAAGCAATCTTCATGGATATGAGTGGCTAAAACACGTTTTTGAGCCTTCTACAAGAGCAAAAGCAACACTTTCAAATGGAAAACTACAACAAAGGCTCCTTATTTGCCATGGCCACGATAGCCATATAAGCGGGAGCTTCATATCACACTGTATACAGAATCAAATATCGCTCCTTATACTACCTCCTCATACTTCTCATGTGTTAACGTAGGTCGTGTCGTAAGTGGTCTAATGTGGTAAATAACCCATGTACCTTTGTAGCCAAATTTGTATGTGGAGGTAATGTAGGTCGTGCCGTAGATGCAGCAATGGCGTAGATGCAATAATGTACCTTTATATACAAATTCATATGCAAAGGTACTTCACACTTCCAAAACTAAAAACCTAAATATCTCCATTAATAAAAATCGTACTGCTTAGATGATCCATATTAGGGTTCTATATATAGACCTTTACTTAACTTAGAAATGGTAACACTTCTAGCGTCGTTTTACCTGATTAATTTAACATTAAAGTTTTCCTCATACAAATATTTGTATGGGTGATTTCATCCAATTAATAGAATAATAACCATGGAACTAGCACTGCTAGACTTTTTATACATTATAAAAAGCTATATATAGAACGTATATATTAAGTAGCTAAGCCTTACGATTTTTATTAGTAGAGCTACTTAAGCTTTTAATTTTAAGTGTAAAGTACCTTTGCATATGAATTTGTATGTAAAGGCACATTACTGCATCTACGCCATTGCTGCATCTATGCCACAACTTACGTTACTTAAAAACAGAAACTTTAAACCTAAATAACTCCTCTAATAATATTATTAAAGTTTATTCGTCTTAAATATAAGGACTATATATAAGAATAGTTTATGTATCAACGCGCTGGGACGGATGGCGTAACGGGACGCTTTGCCAGAGCCACCCGCACCCCACCAAAACGAAGGTCACATGACCAAAATTAAAACGTTAATAACTTTTGTAATAATGCTTATAGGACTTAATCCTCTTAGACTATTACTCTCTATAGTCTTATTTCTTATAGCCGAATTTGCTAGAGTGTAAGCTCTTCTTATTAAGTAGTTATTTATAGTTTAATTTTTACCATACAAAATTTTAGTACTGTAAATCTTAACCTACTAATAACTCCCTAATTAGGCTAACTTAACTACCAATACAATATAATTAAATCTGTGAGACACAGAAGCTAGTCTTATCAATAAGTTGTTTATAGTTCAAGTTTTGCCATACTAATATTTATATGGTAAAAGTTTAAACCTTAATATCTCTTGTAAAACAAAGCTAGTACTAGTAGCATTTATATATGTATTAGATTATGAAATAAGGAATCATAGTCTAAGAGTATTAAGCTCTAGAGCCATTATTACAAAAGTTACTAAGGTTTAAAATATGGTCACATGACCTTGATTTTGGTACCCGGTACACCACGACCTACGTTATTTTAGTCATTTCATGAACGTAACATCCCTGCTCTGGACCACTCACACCTGTAGCCAGCCAGGAAAGGCGGATGTCGAGCAGTACTAGTCCAGTTCAGCGTTGGTGCTAGGGTGCGGCAACCTCCCAGGCTCCCTCCCTCCTCCGATCCCCTCGAAACCCCCCTCGGAAGCCCTCACGCGAGGCACAAACTCCCCCCTCCCCCACCCCTGCCTCCTAGGATGGCCTCGCTAGCCGAACTCGCTGCCCCTATCGACGGCGGTAGCGAGTTCCTCGACTTGGACGCTTGGTCCCGCGCCCTGGACGACTGGGCCGTCAAGGAGAAGTTCTCCTGGCGGCTCCAGAGGAGGGACAAAGACGGGGCAACTGCCATTTATCCCGAGGAGGGCTGTGCCCGGCGTGTCCGAGCCAGCCCCAACGACAAGCAATGGAAGCTCGTCGTCGTTTGGGGGACACACACTTGCGTGGGGAGTGGGGGTTTACAGCCCGTTTTCATATGAGAACGGGGAGAGTTTGTAGATTGGGCTTGGGCGGGTCACGTCGGATGGAACTGGGTATATAGAATTTATTTATTGTTTTACTGGGTATATGGAGTTTTTGCCCATATATTTTACCTAGCTAAAGGCCCTATTATGTGGAAATCTAAGCTTCAAAGCATTATAGCTCAAAGTACAACTTTACCATTGAACTTTACACGGACCTGCCAAAAAGGTGAAGTAAAACTATGCATGACAGCTAGTGTTTGCTGACGGTAACTATAGAAATATTTCTTGACGCATTTCGTCGATCACCAAACTGGGTCGGTCAATCACCAATCTGGGTCACCATACCCTACACCAAAAAACGTCCGCCTCAAAAACATCCATCCAGCGGCCATGCTTGTAGTTTGGTAACCACCGACCACCGACCGACCATTTTTGTATCCACATGCCCATAGATACGAGGTCAAATTTATAGTGTATAAAAACAGGACGCCCGCAAACCAATGCAAAATATGAAAATGATCCACCACCCTCTCCATATGTACGTATATGTATAGTAGAATTTTAAGCGCTGTTGGTGCTGATCAGCTGGATGCAATTTGTCAAGAGGTTCGCAGCTTCGTGAAGGAGCTCCCAGCGGGTCTTCTCAAACGTGTGGCGGAGAACCATGAGCATGCCGGTGCAGCCATTGAGGTTGCTGACGGACTTGAGCTCCTCGGGGGACTTGACGTTGCTCAGTCTCCTGAGATAGACACGCATGTCGAAGACCTGGTCTTGGAATGCGCCCGCTAATGGTATCTCCTCGTGCGTGGGACCTTCCAAGGCAAAGGCGTAACACCATACGATCAAGGCAGCAAAGTAAAGGACCCATGAGCGGTTCATGAGAACATCATCGCGGGCTGAATAGTCGAAATCGATGTCGGCCTGGTCATACATCTGCATACCAGATGAAGTGTCTTCCGGTAACAGTACTGTGCATAAGAACCGAATGGCATAATATGTAGCGTCCCGAGCCTTGGCCGTTGGAGCCCAGATGTCCTTCATTTTTCGTTGTGTAGATTTGAGATCTTGAGTGCCAATAGTGCGGCCGAGTAGTCGTTTTGCTCGTGCAAATATTTGACAATCGACGATGTCAACATGCATAGCCATGTGTGCTAGATGATGAAGTACCGTTCTACTTTCGAAGACGGTATCTTCATCCTGCTTGCTGGAGTACGTATAGGGGGCCGAATTGGTTTCCGTATTGTGGGCCAACGACCTGTCGAAATCTTGCTTCCATAGATCAAAGGCTCGTGTCAGGGAGCCTCTCCACTTATCACGTCCTCCGAGCACCTGGGACACCCCTAGCGAATTGACCTGGAGGTCTCTCTGGTTCATGTGCCAGCTCACGCTTAGCAATCCTGCCATCAAAATGCTTCGTCCAAAGGCGTTTGTTCGCACTTCCTGCGCGTTTAGTGTCCTCTTCAGGCCTTCGAGGAATGATACAGGCTTGACGCCATTGGCGTGGAGGCTTGCCTCGATTCTGCCAACTTCGGCGCTATTCGTTGCTGACCAGAGTGCCTCGTCGCATGGTAGCGGGAGTCGCATTTCATGGGCAACCATAACTGTTGAATGCCCAAACATAGTAGCATGTACAGAGTCAATCACAAAGGCAGCAAAAGCCGCCCGGCGGGTCGCTTCATTTGTGACCCAGTGGTTCCACCATTCATCTGGTGTATTTGCCCCTGAAGCCGACGATTGTATAGAGTCATTGTGACCTTGCTTCTCATCTCTCACGCTCGGCGGAGAATCTAATGCAGATCTTCCTATCAACGAACTGCCTCTCCGCATCAATGTGATGGTAGTTGCATGGTGTATATGTGCGCGCTCATGGAGCGCTCGGGTGGAGTACATTTTCTCATAAATCTCGAGGAGAAGTAGTGCTTGGAATACCCATAGTTTCGCTGGAGGTCGAAAGTGGACATCACTGAATATCTCCCATCTCAAGTGCCAAGCAAGAAAGTTTGCAAGCTCAGCACCGGACTGGGTGATATGATACCCGTGCATCTTACCAAGGCAAGACGCGCCGATGGCCATCATTGCAATGAGAAGAAGGTTTGGAGTCCTTTCAGGAGAAAATGTGGGTTTATGCACTGTATTTAATTAGCATAGAGTTCCTTTCGTAGGGCCGAAGTAGATTCGGGGAAACTTACAGATTGGCAACTGAGGATGGAAATGCCACCAGAAGCTTCCTATATAGGTTTGCATCATCTTCCTGCTCATCATATGAGAATCATTGGTGCGGTCGCCGTCAAGTAGTGCTTCCTTTTGCTTTGCAACGGGTGCGTGGTCCGTCTCGTTGAACCTCTCCTTGATCAGATCGATAATCTCTTGGCTCTTGTCTTCTGACAATATCATCTCTGGAGTAGACGTATCTAGCAGACTTGTGACAGCCATTGGGTGCTGTGGATTCTGCGGAAAGTAACCACCGAGGTTAATCTCATTTGCAAAATACGGTTGATATTGGTTCTGGGCATCGGGATAGCTGGATATGGGTGTTAGTAAAGTGACTTCTCAACGAATAAGGTATCAAACTTACTTTGATGAGTAGCCTTGCGTCCCAAGCGCCGGATTTGACATTGGCGATGAATTGTCAAGGTGCTGTCCGCTGAATAGGAAGGCAACAAAGTCATCCGGAATTGCAAAAGGAGACCTGTTATAACCTTCTCCACCAAACACGGGCATAGTGTTTACGGCAGCCATCTGGTCTAGCAGCATCATATCAGGCCCCGATTGTTGTGGATGACTAGTATCACGGCCTTGGTAGTTGATCGACATAGAAGTCTGTGGTGGCGAGATGACATATGAGGATTCAGTATCCCGTGATGTCGTCGTTGACGCTGGTGCAGCCACAGGTGAGAAGCCCGGTGGCGGTAAAGAGAACGGAGTAAAATTCTGGGCGTTGACATATGGTTGCATGGGTACCTGCATTCCGTTGTTATGATTGTTTACGTATGATTGTTGCCGTTGGTTCGGGGAGAGAGAATCAAAGCCAGGGTTCGTCGAATGCTGAGATTGTCTCCCGTATAAAGTATTATCTTGGATGTTGCCATCTGCTCCACCGATTCCCGTATGGCGCCCTTGCCCGGTTGCATTTTGCTGCATCGAGCCCGCATTGAGACCATGAGCGGACTGGATGCTGTAAGGGCTACCCGCTGGGGGGTATACATTGCTGGGGTCGACAGTAGCTGATAGTGACCCTGAACGAAGATATGCCGACGAGGTATGGGCGCCAACAGGAGAGAATGGACCCGGCAAGGTTTCCACAGGGGACTGATATGGCGCTTGTGCAGTCCTTGGCTTGAAGCCGCTGCTACCAGGCCGTCCGACTTCAGGGGACATGGAGCCTTTGAAGGCCATATTTGTGTTGTTGCTTGTTATTGGCGAAACGTTGCTCAGCATGGCATCCTTCCTCTGCAGCTGTGACCCTTTGGCGGTATGGCGTTCTTTGTGGCGGTTGCATAGATCCTGGCGGACAAACGTGCGGTCACAATCCGGAAAATCACAGCTGTATATCTGCTTTGGGGTATGGTTCAGTTGGTGACGATAGCTAGGATCGCGCCTGGGTCAGTAAAGAAGGCAGAAACTCTGTGCTGCTCGTCAAGGGATTTGGACTAACAGATGCTCTGCCCTGGAGTAGCTTTTACCGCATCCGCCTTGGGGGCACTCAAATTTCTTGTCAAGGCCTTTTCGGCTTCGTCGTCTCTTCCTGGCACCTTCAGGCCCATCAGTTCCATCACCGCCGGACGACTGTCCTTCATCGCCATCAGCTCCGGAGTCGTATCCATTACTATCTTTCGACGTAATCTGAGTCCGGCTTCGCCGCCTTCCCCTCGGTTTTTCGCTTTCCGTTTTGATCTTCGATAGCACCAGAGGAGACTCCAGCGGTATGTCCATTACCACGGACGACTGGGTCACGTTTGCGGGGTGGATCTGGATCGGTTGGGCAACAATCGAAGTCATTATCTGTGTCGCTGGGACGGGTATTTAAAATTATCAAAGGTGATAAAAGCTCTCCCGGTGCGTATGTGTAAGAAGGGTCCTGACATAAGGGTCCTTTACCCGTCTACATTTACTGTCCTTCGTCAGCTCTGCCCCAGGTACCCAGATTATCAAACACGGATGCAGAGAGAGAAACATTGTATAATGTGGTACTAAAACATTTATGATTCTGCAGAGTGAGGGAGGTAGAAATGGCTCAAGGGCACGCGACCAACGCGCAACATCCGCTGCTCGCTGGAGACAGGAAGGGCCGCATCGTAGGGGTTGCTTTTGCAACGCATCAAATTCGTCGTGCATTTGTCGCGCGCCGTCGCCAAGGAGTGTGCTTGATGCGCGTGAAGGTAGGTTGGTTAAAGCACGCTCAAACAGATGAAATATATTTACCAAACCAAGAAAGTAGCCAAACTCACAGCGAAGGCATACAAGTCAACGCTAGATCTGATAGAGCTGGCAAAGTGTGCGCTTGAGCGACCACGGCGTCGACTCAGCAGATCAGATGCTGCATCTCATCCAGAATTGTAGCCGCTTCCAAAGGTCGATAGGTTGGTTTCACAGGCGCGGGGGAAAACTTATCAGGTCGAGTATCGGAGGCGGAGGCGCGGGGAACGTTGCGCGGGATGTTACAGGCCGGAGAATTTGCGGGGGGAGCTATGAATCGGATCTCCGCCTAAATACAGAATCAGCATGATGGTGGAAGAAGAGGTATGATGTGGATTGTTACGGACCTGCCTGCGCCAGCAGTAATTGATAGGGATCGCTGTAATAGATGCCTATTATCGTAGACGGGACGGATGGTGGGGATTTCAAGCAAGAGTTAGCAGCGGGCGGGCGGTGGATCGAATTGTCGATGCAGCGGGTGCGCAACAGAGGCGACTTCGGGTAGCGCCTTGGGAGTATACGGACGTCCAGAGTACTATACAGAGTACTATACAGAGTACTATACAGAGTACAGTAGATGATGGATGGAGCTGGAGAAGGATAAAGTACAGAAGAAGATCCGCTGACGGCGACATAAATGAGGTCGCGTGTCGCGGCCAGAGAGGAAGCCAAGGGCGCCTGGCGAAAGTAGATCAGACGGAGGAGCGATTATAGTGAGGGGCGGCGGGCGGGAGTGTACAGCAGGAGTGAGACTGTGGGCATCCGGGTCCGGCGAAGCTACTCGAGTATGGCTTCGGCGGCGAGACGATGTAACTAGGCTCTCATGTCACGAAGACGAGGAGGAGAAAATGGTATGGGGAAGATGGAGAATGGTATGGGGAAGATGGAGAAGGGAGAAGGGAGAAAGGAGAAGGGAGGAGGGAGGAGGGAGGAGGGAGAAGGGAGAAGGGAGAAGGGAGAAGGGAGAAGGGAGAAGGGAGAAGGGAGAAGGGAGAAGGGAGAAGGGAGAAGGGAGAAGGGAGAAGGGAAGATGGAGAATGAGGCGGATATGGATTGAGGGATTGGGGCGGGTTCCCGGGGGGGGCGAGGGAGGGAGGGCGGTTTGACAAAAACGGCGGGGACTATCTTGATGATATTTAGGCCTCCCCATCGTCCCGCGTGTCAACATGCGGTGCAGGCGGTGCATGCACCGGCATGCACCACCAAGGCTCAGAGGGGGAAAATCTTTTCCACAGATGAAATAATAATAGCGCCTCTAGTATTGGCAGATTTGGCAGTTGCCATTCTACAGGTACTACTTCACCACTTCACTACTTCTAGTCTACGGCACTATTGGCAGAGTCCAAAACTGGAGGGGAGTCATATTTGGGGGTTAGAACCTTGGCTTTGCCCCATGTACATATGTGGTGCAGCCACTACGGAGAAGTACTTTGCGGCAGCTAACTTGGTTGGGTTTTGATGGAGGAGAGAGAGAGATGGAGGGAACGATGAGGAAAGACAGGCTTTGGACAGTACTGGACAGGCTCTTGGACAGCACTGGACAGGCTCTTGGACAGCACTGGACAGGCTCTTGGACAGCACTGGACAGGCTCTTGGACAGCACTGGACAGGCTTCCCTCGCTGATCGTCTCTCTGGACCCCTCGGTCTCAGCCGAGATGTCAACGTATGGGTCCTCGTACGTCGACACCGTACATAGTAAGGCGTCGCGGGAAATCCAACGCTGGTACCCAAGTGGAGATCGATGAAGATCTCCCCCGCGGAGATGTTGGACATGTCGTGATTCAGGCACATTTAAAGGTCAAAGGTCAAAGTATTCGATAATATAGAGTACTGCCGTGCGTGCCTGGTGAGGGTGTAGCCATCGTTCTACTCTACTCTACTGTGTCACTGTGTCTACTACCAGTAACTTAGTAGTACTAGTAATGGTAGTAGTAATAGTAATAGTAGTAGTAGTAATAGTAGTAGTACTACTACTAATAATAGTAGTAGTAGTAATAGTACTACTACTAGTAATAGTAGTAGTAATAGTTACTAGTAGTACAGTAGTAGTAATAGTAGTAGTAATAGTAGTAGTAATAGTAGTACTACTAGTAATAGTAGTACTAGTAGTAGTAATAGTACTACTACTACTACTACTGTACGTATACGTACGTACCGCATTACGGAGTACGGACTCTCATCCTTCATCCTTCATCCTTCCCCTTGCCCTCGCTAGTCCCACTACAACAAAATCCCTGCAGGGATGAAAGGGTTCTTCACAAATGGCACAGCTCCACTCCTATTGGCCATACACAACAGGGAAACCTGGAGAATGTGGAGATGTCTGATCTTGTACTTTATATTTTGTACTGCCTTGCATGACACTACACCGTGATTGGACTAGCACGCATCCCCATCCCCATCCCCATCCCATCCCCATCCCCATCCCCATCCCCATCCCCATCCCCATCCCCATCCCCATCCCCATCCCCATCCCCATCCCCATCCCCATCCCCATCCCCATCCCCATCCCCATCCCCATCCCCATCCCCATCCCCATCCCCATCCCCATCCCCATCCCCATCCCCATCCCCATCCCCATCCCCATCCCCATCCCCATCCCCATCCCCATCCCATCCCCATCCCCATCCCCATCCCCATCCCCATCCCCATCCCCATCCCCATCCCCATCCCCATCCCCATCCCCATCCCCATCCCCATCCCCATCCCCATCCCCATCCCCATCCCCATCCCCATCCCCATCCCCATCCCCATCCCCATCCCCATCCCCATCCCCATCCCCATCCCCATCCCCATCCCCATCCCCATCCCCATCCCCATCCCCATCCCCATCCCCATCCCCATCCCCATCCCCATCCCCATCCCCATCCCCATCCCCATCCCCATCCCCATCCCCATCCCCAGTGTCCTTGCCGCAGAATACCCCTACACATAGAAAATAAAGTCGTACTCCCTACTCTTCTGTATTGTTTGCTATACCAACACAACAGACGATGAGCCTCTCTGCAAATCAATATATCTGTAGTGGAGTGCTCAGTACCGAGTGCCTCTGTTCGAGTAGCTGCCAATTCGGCATGTACGGAGGTGTTGTTCATAAGTTTTGTGAGTGGATCGGGCTAGGGCCCCCTGCGTAGGCTGGCTTGGCAATTCTGGCCAAAGTACCGATTCTCACGCGTCACGAACACTTGAGTGTGAGAGCAATCAATTCTGTAGAATAATGAGTAGAGTAGATACCTAAACCCCTATATAAAACTATACTATAAGCCTAGTACTCTGTGTGCATACCATTTGCAGCAATTACTGCTGCCATATGTGTAGGCATACTATTAAGGAGAGCATTAAGCTCAGCTTCTCCAACTTGCTCCCATGCTTCCTTAACAGCTACACGGAGCTGGTCATAGGACATATGTTCTGGATGATTATCTTGTAGATAATTCTTCATAATATGCCACACCCGTTCAATTGGGTTGAGATCTGGTGAATACGGGACCATTCTATAGGGCAAATACCACGGGATCTCAACTCTTCATATGTTGCATCTGCTCTATGACCTGGAGCTCCATCTTGCATCAATGTAAGGCCTGGGTGTAGGCGTAGCCAGCCGTGGATTAGAGGGACAGTATGAGCCATATAGGACTCAGCTCCTATTTTCCCATATTCCTTCTCCCAAAATAGTATAGGACCCTTTCCAAGACCACCTGAGAAGCAGCCCCAGAACATCCAACCTCTAGGGATTGTTAGTAAATCCTATAGTAAATAGGAGTCTCTTACCTTCTCCATTGTACTCTATCTACAACACATGTATCATCCCACATTTCCCCTGCTTTTCGAGTAACCCACGTACGAGTATGGCGGCCTCCCGTTACCCACGTCTCGTCAGTCCAAAGTATCCTATTCCAATCATTCTGTACCCAATCCTTATGTTCAATAGCCCATGCAAGTCGCTTTTGTCGATTTGTCTCTGAGATAATAGGCTTCCACATAGCAATCCCTTAATAATTATTAGTCTATATAGTAGTAAAGTAGAGAGGGATACTTACGTCGATTATAGCCTCTCACAGACAGAGCACGGGTTAGGACAATCCGTGAGCATGGAATATTAAGAATGTGTATTATATTTGTATATGGCATATGCCTATTCGTGTGAGATGAGGCTATAAACTCAATAACCTCTTGAACTTGCTCATCGGATAGGATAAGTGGCCTACCCGAACGCTTCTTCAGAGTTGGAGGGCCCTGGCAAGCATACCAAGCCTGCCGTTCCGTGCAGCCAATATAGGCTGCAATTTTTTGGAACTCCCAATCTAGGGAGCGTAGTAGTGCGCAATGAAGCCGCTCATTGCGAGTAAGATGAGGCATTGAAGTTATTGAAAGAGTATGAATTTCCTACATATAAAATACAATAGTAGGAATTTTGACGCGTTAAAAAGGTACAAACAAGCCTATGCATACCCATGCTCCAACCCATGCCCAACCCCCAGTCATCTCATGACCCACTCACAAAACTTATGAACAACACCTCCATATGAATGTCTTTCTATATGCCTTTCCATTGCATCTAACGCATATAATGCAGCCTCTAGATGTTGGTGTTTTATAGCCTTATAAACACTAGCATAAAAGAGCTGTATAACATGCAATGCGTGCTCTTGTGTAATGGTGGGTGCACCAGATGTGAGAATCTAGCCACCCAAGGAAGGGGTGATTTTACTAAGACAACACACTGTCTTAGGAAACAGAGCCAAAGGGTTGTAGCTTAGACTATTCCACAACGCAGCAATCAAGTGTATGATGTAGTGGAGTGGTTTAGACAAGTTGTAACAAATGTTGAGTCTGAGAAGTCAGGGATAAGTCAGAGGTTAGCACCTCACTGACTTTTCAGAAACAAGGAGTATCAAGATCAATGCTTGGAAGCTTGGAAAAGACGTGGAAGTATGTGATAGTCGATTTACTGTATTGTCTGCTTTGTAATGGTGGGTGCACCAGATGTGAGAATCTAGCCACCCAAGGAAGGGATGAATTTACTAAGACAACACACTGTCTTAGAAAACAGAGCCAAAGGGTCGTAGCTTAGACTATTCCACAACGCAGCAATCAGGTGTGTGATGTAGTGAAGTGGTTCAGACAAGTTGCAACAAATGTTGAGTCTGGGAACTCAGGGGTAAGTCAGAGGTTAACACCTCACTGACTTTTCAGAAACAAGGAGTAACAAGATGAATGCTTGGAAGCGTGGAAAAGACGTGGAAGTATGTGATAGTCGATTTACTGTATTGTCTGCTTGCCCTTTCTTAAGGAAAGGGCAATCCTATTTATGCTAAAGGAGTGTAGTTCTCTCATTTTCCAAGACTTTCCATGATTACCAGGCTTGGTAACTGTAGTCGACGTAAGAGAATCCCATAGAACCATCTCTTAGGTTCATAGCCTATAGGAAGTAAAAGGAGGTCCAAGGTCAGAGTACCCCAATAGACAAATTATGTCATAGACAAATTATGTCATAACTTAACCAATCTTGTGGGTAACTAAAGAGCGATGACATGTAATGAATCATAGAGGTTCGTAGGAGCTTTTAGAGCTATCGTTCATGCTCCTAGGCCTCTAGTTGGTAGAGATATGTCATGTGGTAGTATGAGTGATGTCATGTAATGAATCATAGAGGGTTGTAGAGATATGCTATGTGGTAATATCGGCCCAGTAACTAAGGAGCGATGACGTGTAATGAATCATAGATGGTTGTAGCAATCGTTGAGTAGTATTGCTCTTGTTGTTGGTGTGATAAGCCAAAATATGTATAGTGACTTGTAGGTTTGAGGAGGAGATTTCCAAGTTTGCTCTTGAGTTTGATAGCAAACTGAGTGCAACGAATGTCAGTATGACATGCTTGCCCTTTCTTAAGGAAAGGGCAATCCTATTTATGCTAAAGGAGTGTAGTTCTCTCATTTTCCAAGACTTTCCATGACTAACCAGGCTTGGTAACTGTAGTCGATGTAAGAGAATCCCATAGAACCATCTCCTAGGTTCCTAGCCTATAGGAAGTGAAAGGAGGTCCAAGGTCAGAGTACCCCTATAGACAAATTATGTCATAACTTAACCAATATTGTGGGTAACTAAGGAGCGATGACGTGTAATGAATCATAGAGGGTTATAGCAATCGTTGAGTAGTATTGCTCTTGTTGTTGGTGTGATAAGCCAAAATATGTATAGTGACTTGTAGTTTTGAGGAGTAGATTTCTAAGTTTGCTCTTGAGTTTGACAGCAAACTGAGTGCAACGAATGTCAGTATGACATCTTGATGTTGATTATAACATTGCATCTTTCTTTCAGCCTTTAAGAAAGGTACTATCTAAAAAGCTTTTTGTTAAGCTGGAATGTGGCCAATTAATAGCTATGAAGCTATTAAGATGATAAAAGTATATACATCAATTGAACGCCCTCAAACGCCTATCCAGCTACCTAAAACACCAACTAGGTTTGTACAAGCTGGTATGTTGTTAGAACATTGGGAGAAAAGAGTGCCTACTCTTCTTTCTAGCCCTTCACATCACAGCCTAGTTGGGAATCATTTGTACGTGGAACTAAGGAGGTACTAGCTACAGGGGAATTAGCTGTATTACAATATACACTGCTTTCTACAAAGGTAGCTAGTTAACAAAAGAAGAAGCTAAATAGCTGTGCTGTTTTAAAGGCTAATGCTAGCCCTTTAACAGCTAAGGCTTGGAGGCGTAAGGAAGAGAAGGCTAGGAAGGAAAACGAGGCAAAGGAGAGGGCTTTGATATATAAGACTAGAGTAGCTACTAATAAGGTATGGAAAGAGCTATATAAAAGGGGGGTTATAGCACGTAGAGCTCAGCTAGCGAGGAAGAAACAGATTGGGCAAAAGAAGGAGAATAAGGAGGTGCCAATTAAGCTACTCGAGCCAATTATAGACCTGAAAAAGGCTGCAAAGGAGGAGGAAATTCAAGAGGAGGTTAGCAAGTAATTAGTATCAATTACGGGGCAGGAATTGGGCTTGGAATTAGGCCACGAAAGCGACGACTTTATCAGTTTTGAGGGGCTAGATAAGGTACAGGATTTTGATACAATAGATCCAGGGCTTTTCTAGGGGGATAATAGCTTTAATTTACATAAGTGGTCGGTGCAGACCACCAACGATTAACTATGGCAAACGCGTGGTTTTGGGTTCGCGATTCACGGCTAACGGGTGTTAACGGGTTACGGGTGGAATACGTTAGCTAAGTTAGTGCTGTCGTATTACATAAGGTGGCCGTCGTCTCGCTGCTCCAAGGTACACGCACCACGCCCTCGGCACTCAGCCGTCGTGCGTGTGGTCCAACACGAATCCGCTTCACCAAAGACTCGTCCCTCTCCCCATCACCAGCGTTCAACGACCCAGTTACGAATGTTACGAATGCGGCCCGCCACTCTTTAACACATACAGGGCAATGGCTCCCTCGAAGGCACGCGCCGCCCCAGACGACTCGAGGTCTGAGGCATCTAGCACTAGAGAGAGACATGGAGGTTCAGGCCATACTACTACGAACACCAAGGGCCGACGAGGTGGGACCGGTGCTGCCTCCAGCTCTTTACGAGATGTGACAACAGCTGGCTCAGTAGCGGCGGGCGTAACGTCTGCCCCGAATGGAGCTGCCCAGGAAGCCAATGTGGGGGTACGTTGATTCCTCTTCACGTTCGCGATGAGAGCTCGAATGCTGATACTCCCCAGATGCAGTGGTCGACTCTAGACCCAGAAATTCTGCAAGCATATAGCCACGCCTATCAACTGAACACTCCTCCGGCGTTTATCAGCGATTACAATCAACTCATGCTTACGGGACCCGGCATCGGTCGCTTTTCACCCACCATGGCGCGACGCAGAGAAAAGCACAGGCAGAGCAAGGACCAGCTGTCAAATACCGTTCGCAAACACTTCAATGGCTTGGGTATACAAGAGAATGAGGCCATTGTTGAGTTCCTATACAAAGTGAAGTGGCAGGGTAAGTCGTAATTTGCTTCCACGGAGAGGTCAGAGCTGATAAGAGTACAGACAAAAACTTTCGCATGCGATTTGCGCCGAACAAACCACGATGAACAAGGCGATCCCGCGAATACCCAATTAGGCTCCCCATTGGTTTTACACTGCGTGTACACTAGAATATACTTTGGAAGGAGGCTGCGAATTCGCAGCGGCGCCCTTGGAATTGGTGCTGCCAAATGGCGTCTGGTGTTGTGATAAGCTTGGTTGTCATGGGACAATACTGGCTGTACATTCTATACTTTTTTAAACACACTTAAGTAGTAAACAATAGTATTAAGTAAACAATAGTATTACACTTGACATGACAGAATCTCAATTTAACATCTGCTTCATTTGTTCTATGGTATGTTCACAGGCACCGATGATGCGTGATCAACCTTGGGAGGTTTCGAGGCGCCCCTCGATAACGATAATTCGAGGCTCCATAGTAACATCCAGCCAATCACATACAGCCGAAAAAAAAGGGCGACATTCCGCACCTTGACTTGGAGAATTCAATACTTTACTGTCTCAAGTTGAGTTTTGGTATCCGCTACACATTAATATCTTACATATACGCGCCATATTTAATAATAGTTTGAGAACCTACTCGCGGCCGGATCCTCGAATGCGCGGCAATCTTTGATGCACTCGGCTTGGGCATCATCATGAACTCTGGCACATCTAGCCTTTTGAAGAAGGCTTCTATTTCGATCCGCTACCGCGCCTCCAGCCGCGTGTGCAGGCGATCACGATACCCAGATGGAGCACTAGACAAGGCCGCTGTACGCTCCTACACAACCTGCACTGCCAGGCAAAATGCCCGGAGGGACCTGGCAGCTTCAGCCAACGCACGTCTGAGGTCATCGCCAAGGAGGGTACGTTGACAGCTATGATATTTGAAGCATCATGCACTTTTCTAACATGTAACTATAGGCGTTCCACGCATCGCGCAACCTTCAAGCGACGAAGAATCCATACCAAGTTCTTGGGGTTGGCAAGGATGCCTCTGCCTCCGATATAAAGAAGGCCTATTATGGACTGGCTAAGAAGTTCCATCCCGATACGAATAAAGACCCCACCGCGAAAGACAAGTTTGCTGAAGCGCAGTCTGCCTATGAGCTCTTATCCGACGCGAAGAAGAAAGAGTCGTATGATATGTATGGCGAAGCTGCGTTCAACCAAGGCGGCGGTCCAAGCCCGGGCGGAGACCCTTTCGGAGGCGCAGGCAGCCCATTTGGAAGTGGCTTCGGCGGTTTTGGTGGCGGGGGAGGAGGATTCGGTGGCGCTGGGGGCTTTGGGGCAGATTTCTCCTTCGATGATCTCTTCAAGGCCTTCGGTGGACAAGCTGGAAAGAGAGGAGGCCGAGGGGGTCGAGGGTCGCCATTTTCTCAGGAGGAAGTTCTCGTTGGCGACAACATCGAGGTGCAAGCCAGCATATCTTTTATGGAAGCAGCTAAGGGAGTTACGAAGACGATACCTATTACGCCTATGACGACTTGCAAGACGTGCTCCGGGACTGGATTGAAGGCAGGCACGAAGCGCACCGAGTGCAAGTCTTGTGATGGAACTGGGACACGGGTTCACTTCATGCAGGGAGGTTTCCAGATGGCCTCGACATGCGGCTCCTGTGGTGGACGCGGTGTTACGATACCCCGAGGATCAGAGTGTGGGACTTGCGATGGCGACGGAGTTGTTCGAGAGCGCAAGATGATTAATGTTGACATACCTGGCGGTATTGAAGACGGAATGAGGCTCCGTCTCGACAAGGAGGGTGATGCACCAGTTACAGGCGCTGCGGCACCTCCTGGAGCTAGAGCGGTTCCTGGAGACCTGTACGTCCACGTTCGGGTTGCTCCCGATCCGAAATTCAGCCGATCTGGGTCGGACGTCCTTTATACCGCGACTATACCCCTGACTACCGCCCTGCTTGGTGGTGAAGTACGAATCCCAACTCTGGATGGGCACGTTGATGTCAAGGTTGCTACGGGAACCGGGGCAGGTGACAAGATTACCCTCAGTGGCATGGGTATGAAAAAGCTTAATGCACGTAGGGCTGGCAACGGAGATCTCAAGGTTGAGTTCAAGATTGCGGTGCCGAAATACCTCAGCGCAAAGCAGCGAACTATTCTAGAGATTCTCGCGGATGAGATGGGTGACAAAACGGCGAAGCGGGTTATGAATGTCAACAGCTCCAAGTAAGTTCCTGACGAACTCCTGGACGAGGCCTCGCTAACGTTAATAGGTCGTCCGAAACTGAAACTTCTCAGAAGAATGAAGGGTTTATCAAGTCGATCTGGCACAAGTTGACCGACAAACCCGCCGAGTCGAGTAGCACCACTGCACCTGATTCGAAGGATGCCAAACGCAAAGATGCCCCCAAAGACGGCGGCGCTCAGGAAAAAGACGGAAAGTCGCCCAAGAAGGGCTCCGATTCCGGGTTGTGAGATAGATGGCCACCCCGCTGCGCTCTATGACTTCTAGTCAGTCATAGGCAGCCCTAGTTACCTGCTAGAGTAATTGGCTGGTTGGGCATGAAAGCCCCCTGGCACGCTTTCCTGGTCAAGATGATGGTTTTGCGGCCGTACAAGTCGCATCCAATCATTTTACTGTAATAACTTGTATGTAACAATGTATGTATATCATGTAGCAAAACTAGACGGACACTCCTAGAAATCACCACCAAAATATATTTATCAAGTAAAACATTCCGGAGTGAACCCTCGTGTGGTTGGGTTGACAATCCTAGAAAGCCCCCCTTGATATTTCCTCAATCAACCACACCTGGTCATACGGGCAAGGCTTGTTTCCCAGTGTGATTGCCATGCTGGTAGTTCGAGGCCGATACACCCAATCGTATGCTGTGTCAGCTCCAAGACAGCCATCACAACCCATCACTTTGCATGAGTGCCACTTTGACATCTATTGGAATTAACCGTGAATGTGATTCTGGACAGTGAAAAGCGAAATATGGCGCAAATATTCCCCCTAGAAAGGGTGCGCAAGATGGTGCATACGTGGTGCACACATACATGCTGTTCAGGAGTAAACGGCGATACATATGTCGAGTTATTATGTACGGCATATTAGGATTAAGTTATTTACTTTCTTTTTGAGCATAAATCCTTGCTCGTGCCCAATCACTTAGTTTGTCATGGTGGTTTTGGGAAATGCTATAGGTTTTGGAGTGCCTATGACGAGACTCGCTGGCACCAAACCCGATAGCAATCGATAACTGGCTCCATCCACACCCCCTCCCCTCCCCCCCACCCCCCGGTTTCCCAAAACCACATCTTGGCCCAGCCACAATAAAAGTCCGTACACTCAAAGCTTCCAACATCCTCGATTCCGTATCCCAAGGCGAACATTGCTGCCTCATCTCATCGCTGCGTTGTCCGTGTCGGGTTTCGAACTACTCAATCCCCCCCCCCACCGACCACCAACGTGGCCCAGGCCCTCTGCAACAGCTGTCCCGGCAACCCAGCGCCAGCAAACAGCTGAAGTTCGATAAGCACCAAGCTAAGGACTGGCTACATCAATCGTCGACTATCCGCTCGTCTTCCACAGACTTATGCTGCTTGCAGAGTCTAGTTCCTGAGGGGAGCCCACCTAGCCGCGGAGGCAGATGCTGGCGCCAAAGCGCGAATTAAGTCATAACCATCATCACCGGCTCCGGCTGTAGCTCAACGTCCACTCTCACCTGCGGGTCGCAACGTTTGAGGAGCAGGGCGAGCGCCACGCAGAGCAACCACGATGGCTTCGTCGCCCATGATCTCAGCTCCTCTAAAGGCTACGAATGAAATAGATTGGGTGCCGCCCTTGAAGGATTACATCCGTCAGACGTATGGCGATGACCCGGAGAGATATGCGGAAGAATGTGCCACGCTGAATCGCCTCCGGCAGGATATGAGAGGTGCTGGGAAGGATAGTGCTGCAGGAAGAGACCTACTATACAGATATTATGGTCAGTTGGAGCTCTTGGACCTTCGATTCCCGGTGGATGAAAACCACATCAAGATATCGTTTACATGGTATGTTGCCGAAATACACTCACATACAAAAAGTCACTTCTAACATTGTAATTACAGGTTCGATGCGTTCACCCACAAGCCGACATCCCAATACTCTCTGGCATACGAAAAGGCATCAATTATTTTCAACATATCTGCGGTGCTCTCATGCCACGCAGCGAACCAGTCCCGGTCCGAGGATACGGGGTTGAAAACGGCATACCACTCTTTCCAGGCGTCCGCTGGAATGTTCACATATATAAACGAGAACTTCCTCCACGCGCCATCTACGGATCTGAGCAGGGACACTGTGAAGACGCTAATACAGATTATGCTTGCACAAGGGCAAGAGGTATTCCTGGAAAAACAAATTGCGGACGGTAAGAAAGTAGGCTTGTTGGCTAAGCTCGCAAGCCAGGCTGGCTATTTATACTCTCAAGCAGTGGAGGGTGTTCAGGAGAATGTGAATAAAGCCATTTTTGAGAAGGTTTGGCTTCTCGTCACACAGGTACGTTCTCAAAGAGAATTCCCATAGGCTCTGTGCAACAGGTGCCCTTCCCAGTATAATACTTTGAGACTGACACAGAATTAGATCAAATCTCATTATATGGCTTCTCTGGCGCAGTATTACCAGGCCCTAGCTGATGACGACGCAAATTCTCACGGTACTGCCATTGCGAGACTTCAGCTTGCAGAAACCATGGCCAAAGACGCACAGCGGGCATCGAATAGCTTCCCTAATAACGTACCCGCGAACTCGAATCTGAGCTCCGAAACCGGACCTAGTTTGGTGGAGATAACCAAACGCCATCTCACAACCGTTCAGGAGAAGCTGGTGGGGCTAGTAAAGGATAATGATTATATTTATCATCAGACAGTGCCCGCAGAAGCAGGTCTGACGGCTATTCTAAAGCTCCCTGCGGCAAAAGCAATTCCCGTCAGCGAGTTGTACGCAGGCCAGGATATCCAGCGCATCACGGGTCCAGACATATTCCAAAAGATAATACCAATGTCTGTCACTGAGTCCGCCAGTCTGTACGATGAAGAGAAGGCAAAGATGGTTCGTGCAGAGACGGAGCGAGTAGAAATTGCCAATTCCGAGATGGCTGCAAGCCTGGACTACCTTCGACTACCAGGCGCGTTACAGGTTATCAAGGGTGGCTTTGATAAGGAAGTGTTTTCGGATGATGAGTTTAAGGGGTGGTGCGACGAGCTTGCTGGCCATGAGCCATATGGTGGAACTTTTGAATACCTAACTAGTAGCAGAGAATCCATAACGGGGGTACTCGAGAAGAGCACAAAGCAGCTTGATATGGAAGAAAGTGTTTGCGAGAAGATGCGATCCAAATACGAAGGGGAGTGGACACAACAACCAAGTTCGCGATTGACTATGACGCTAAGGGATGATATCAAGAACTACCGCGATGCCTTGGAAGAAGCAGGAAGGAGTGATAACATTTTATATTCCAAAATGCGGCAAAACGAAGTCGACTTTGACGAGATGAGGTCAGCGGGTGAAACTGGCGAGGCTGATGTGCTCTTCCAACGAGCGTTGATCAAAGTAGGCGGCAAGCGGAATAATTCTGGCAGCCCAGCATCCGGGGGACTAGATGGCAATCTTTTGGACGCCGATTTCGCTGATGACGACCTCAGTGTGATGGATCAGGTTAACAGGGTAGAAGATGTATTGAAGAAACTCAACCTGATTAAGCGAGAACGAGGCCAGGTCCTTAAAGATCTGAAGGAGAAGGTATGTAATATCCCCCACCAGAGAAAGATAGGAGTTGACGCTGTTTCAGGCACACAACGACGATATCTCGCAGATCCTTATTCTCAATAAAAAGGCCGTTTCAAGTCATGAGACGCAGCTATTCAAATCAGAACTGGAAAAGTTCCGACCATATCAGACACGACTTCTCCAAGCAAACCACAAGCAATCATCATTAATGAAAGAACTCACGACCAACTTCAATAGCCTCTTGCAAGACAAGAGAGTCCGATCCGAGCAAAGCAAATATGAGGCCATCACGAGGCAAAGAGGCACTGTTCTCGGCAAGTACAAACGAGTATACCAAGAGTTCTTGGAGCTGGAAACCGGCCTCGGTGACGCCCAGACGTGGTATAAGGAAATGAAAGATACGGTAAACAGCCTTGAGAAGAATGTTGAGACGTTCGTCAACAACCGCCGATCGGAGGGAGCGCAGCTTCTACACCAGATTGAGCATGACAGGGCTGCCAATGCAGGGGGACAGCAAGATAGGGAGCGTGAACGTTTGAGAGGGCTGATGGAGAGGATGTCGATGGACCCATCGACGTCCCCATCCAACGCGAACCCTCCTTCATCTAGAGGCCAGCCATCTATCTCACCCTCCGCACACTACCCACCAACGAATTTTGCCGGCCACTATCAAGTCCCGTCGGCGACTCCTCTACAGCAAGCACAACCGACATTCCCAAAATACAGCAGTCCACCGCCAGGGAACTTCTATCAGCAGCAAGGTGGGCAGAGGACTGATCAATACGGTAATCATGGATCCAGGCCGGGATCGCAGGCTCAACAGGGTGGCTACGATCCAAGCTCATTTGCTCGTCGTGAATACAATCAACAACCCACGTCGCCTCCTCCTACTCAACAGCACTTCTCCCCCACTCAGTACCAGTACCAGCAACACCAACACCACACTGCGCAGCCAATGCAACAGCAACAATTCGTCCCAGCCGGCTACGTCCCGCCTCCACCACCTCCAGGTCCACCACCTCTTGGTCCTCAACAGACCTTTTCTCCACCAGGGTCAGTGTATCAACAGGGGAACGGCCGAGATGGCTATCCCGCTACTCAGTCCAGGATGAGCCAGCAGTCCGGTGCGCAGGATCCGTGGGCGGGGCTGAATTCGTGGAAATAGGTTAGATTACGTGATAAATATAAAGCTGCATTTAAATGTTAAGGGCGCAATTGTGTATTCGCATTGGTAAAATGAATCTGAAAGTCGATGTTCTCTTAACTTGGGCCCTGCCTTCGGCCGATACGGATGTCGACGCTGACTGGCGGGTGGTTCGGGTCGCGGAGCTCCTAAACTAGCCCAGATTCGTACAAGCGCCGATCGGGATTAGTGAGTGGAAATTCAAAAAGAAGCCATTCGATGACACCTCGTGCGTGCCTTGGGGATTCGGTAGCCGCCTCCTTCAATTAAATTTCCATATTCGCATATTCGCATTATTTTATTTTATTTTGTTCTGTAAACCCCTGCCGGACTGTAGGCGCCCGTTACGAAGGTCCGAAATAGTTCAAAACTTGAATCGCAAGCGCCCTTGTTCTCGACCGCGATTCCATTCGGCTGAGTATGCTATACAGCCAAAACCTGCCATGGCGGCCTGCGCTTCGGAATGTATACAGGATCACATCACAGCATAGCAGGACTGGTGCTCTGCGGCCGTACTCGGGCGGCAGGAAGCTGTCACTTAATGGGTCGCAGTTGACGGCCTCGCGGAGGCACGCCGTACCCCTCGTGAGCCGAGGTTCTACGTCGACATTCACAACCTTCTCCCGTCTCCTCAAGGACTCCTCAGACGACTCGAAAGATATATCTCCCGAAGAGATTGCCGCTCGGGCAGCTAAGGAGAAGGCGGAGCTAGAACGGAAAAAGGAGCGCGAAGATGTGGCGGAGACAAAGTCCAAAGGCTCCGATTCCTCACCGACCGCTGGCGCATCAGGGGCAGGGCCAGTAGATGGGAAGGGCAGCAGTGCGACTAGCGGCGGTGGCGAGCAATCCGGAAGCGATGGCGGCCGCAGGGGTCGCAAGTCTGCGAACGAACGAGCTCTACAAAAACCGACGGTTCCCGAAATATACCCCCAGGTTATGGCGATTCCGATTGCCAAGAGGCCGCTATTCCCTGGGTTCTACAAGGCAGTCACTATAAGGGACCCGAATGTCGCTGCGGCAATTCAAGAGATGATAAAGCGGGGACAACCATATATCGGTGCATTCCTCTTCAAAGATGAAAACGCGGACAAGGACATTATCGAGAACATGGATGATGTGCACGACGTTGGAGTCTTTGCCCAGATCACCAGCGCATTCCCTGTCCATGGCGAGCCCGATGCCCTGACGGCGGTTCTGTACCCACACCGAAGGATTAGAATATCAGACCTGGTAACGCCAAATCGGCCAGGTACTGATGCAAAGGCCGCTGGAGAGCAACCTGCAGTTACTGAACCTATTATTCCCGATGTTATACCAACAAATCCAGAGACGGCCGCCGAACCTTCCCAGAAGAAAGGCGACGCCATAGCGAGCTTCGAGGAGATCCCCCCTGAGGCGAAGTCCGTCGACGAATCTGCAGTTCAGTACGAGCCAACCGCATTCCTACGAAAGTACCCGGTCAGCCTGGTCAACGTCGAAAACCTCGTTGAAGAGGCCCACGACTCCAAGAGCCCTATTATTCGCGCTGTGACCAACGAGATCGTCAATGTATTCAAGGAGGTTGCAAGTCTCAACAGCTTGTTCCGGGATCAAATCTCCACCTTCTCCATGAGCCAGTCTGCAGGGAATGTCATGCAAGAGCCTGCAAAGCTAGCTGATTTCGCCGCTGCCGTGTCTTCGGGTGAGATTGCCGAGCTGCAAGACGTGCTCGAGACACTGAACATCGAGGAGCGCCTGCAGAAGGCCCTTGTCGTGCTCAAGAAGGAGCTAATGAACGCTCAACTACAGTCTAAAATCTCCAAGGACGTGGAAAACAAGATTCAAAAGCGCCAACGGGAATACTGGCTGATGGAGCAAATGAAGGGGATCAGAAGGGAACTTGGAATTGAGTCCGACGGGAAAGATAAGCTCGTCGAGAAGTTCAAGGACAAGGCCTCGAAACTGGCAATGCCAGAGGCGGTCAAGAAGGTCTTTGACGAAGAGCTTAACAAGTTGGCCCATCTTGAGCCTGCTGCATCCGAATTCAACGTCACAAGAAACTACCTTGATTGGCTGACCCAAATTCCTTGGGGTCAACGTAGCGCCGAGAATTTCAGCATCAAGAATGCCATGACTGTCCTCGATGAGGACCATTATGGCCTGAAGGATGTGAAAGATAGAATTCTAGAGTTCATTGCCGTTGGCAAGCTTAGAGGGACCGTGGAGGGAAAGATTCTTTGCTTTGTTGGGCCTCCTGGTGTTGGAAAGACGAGCATAGGAAAGTCCATTGCGAGGGCCCTGAACCGGCAATACTACAGGTTCAGTGTTGGTGGGCTCACAGATGTTGCTGAGATCAAGGGTCACAGACGTACATACGTTGGGGCATTACCTGGACGCATAATCCAGGCACTGAAGAAATGTCAAACTGAGAACCCATTGATATTAATCGATGAGATCGACAAGATTGGAAGAGGACATCAAGGAGATCCCGCATCAGCGCTACTGGAGTTACTTGATCCGGAGCAAAACAGCTCATTCTTGGATCACTATATGGATGTACCGGTTGACCTTTCCAAGGTACTCTTTGTATGCACTGCAAACATGACTGACACAATCCCACGCCCGCTACTTGACAGAATGGAGATGATCGAGTTATCTGGATACGTCTCCGACGAGAAGATGGCTATCGCGCAACGATACCTCGGCCCTGCTGCCAAGGAGCTTGCAGGCCTGAAGGATGTTGATGTCGACCTCAGCAAGGAAGCTATCGAAGAGCTCATCAAATCATACTGCCGTGAATCTGGAGTCCGCAACCTGAAGAAGCAGATCGAGAAAGTGTACCGCAAATCGGCACTGAAGATAGTTCAGGATCTAGGAGAAGATGTTCTTCCCGAGGCCGAGGCCCTTACTGAGGAGGGCAAGGCAGCCCTGGAGGCTTCTAAGAAGGATATAACGGACACAGTGGAAACATCAGGCAACATTGAGAAGGAGACAACTGAGGTGCCTCGTGCCAGTCTGGCCGTCCCTGAAAGTGTCCATGTCACAATCGACAAAGCGAATCTTAAGGACTACGTTGGAGCCCCAGTCTTTACATCGGATAGACTTTACGATATCACACCACCAGGAGTTGCCATGGGTTTGGCGTGGACACAGATGGGCGGTGCGGCGTTGTACGTTGAGTCGATTCTGGAGAGTGCATTAAATTCGGAATCTCGACCTGGGTTGGCCACTACAGGTAACCTGAAGGCCGTCATGAAAGAGTCCACCACAATCGCCTACTCGTTTGCCAAATCAGTTATGGCGAAGGAGTTCCCAGAAAACCACTTCTTTGATAAGGCAAAGCTACATTTACATTGCCCTGAGGGCGCCGTTCAGAAGGATGGCCCATCGGCTGGTATTACAATGGCAACTTCCATGTTGTCCTTGGCCTTGGATACGTCGCTGGACCCAACGATTGCCATGACAGGTGAGCTTACTGTCACTGGAAAGGTACTGAGAATCGGGGGTCTCCGCGAGAAGACCGTAGCAGCACGCCGGGCTGGATCGAAGAAGATTATATTCCCTCATGACAACCTGTCTGACTGGCTGGAACTTCCAGAGGTAAGCAGCGTTCCCCCATTTCCACCAATCTGCTAGAGCTAACATGACTATAGAATATCAAAGAAGGAATTGAAGGGCACCCTGCGAAGTGGTACTCTGATGTCTTTGACCTGGTGTTCCCTGAACTCGACGTTGAGAAAGCGAACAACGTCTGGAAGAAGCAGCTATCCAAGCCAAAGAAGGAAGATAACAGCGAAGACTCGGCGGACGATGATTGACTGAGGGATTTCCGATGATCGGACCAATGTCCTCTCGATGGACAAATTTGGCGCATGGAAATTGGCGCCTATCGGCTTCGGCGTGGTAGCGTCGCGGACTCAGCGACGAGTATCCCCTCACCTCTCGGAGTTGCATATATATGGCGTGGGTAGCATTTCTGTAATATACTGGTGTATGATCTAGACTATTAGAACGGGGTGTTGGGTGACCAGTCCACCACAGCTGGTTACCCATTTCGCCATGTAAAAGAAACATATTATTGTGCAATCTTGCCACCAAATCCCGCGCTCCTCCACAACAGTTTCTTGACCAAACGAAACATGCGTTTGATATGATTGTGGAGATGATCAGTTGGGTTCAATGCAAGAAGGTAAGTCAGACTGTCGAGATTTACGAGGCGAATGGTTCTTTGTAGCGTGGTTGGTTCCGGGTTCACATGGGGACGATGATGAGCCTCGTCATGCACGTACAGCGCAGCACGACTCTAGGGTTTTAGCAACAACAACACGTCAAAGGACGGAAGACGAAAGCCTCGCTGTCAACATCGCTGCCCAATACTCCCGTGTAGGAGATGTATCCAATGAAACAAAAACCAAACCCGCCAGAAAGAGCGCCTGTCCTGCAGCTGAGGGCTTCGAACTCGAGCGGGTAAGATCCCCATCTCGGTGATCCCCAGAGCAGCGGCGGTGACACGTGCCCCGCTGAGGCGCAGACACTGTGAGAAGATACAGTTGGAAGGGTGAAGCTCTTCGCTCTTTGCTATGTGTCGAGCTCAGGAGAATACAGAGTATAAGGCATGGATATCCAGCCCACAAAACAAAAACACGACTCGGTAGATCTGGCGGTGATGAGTCGGAGTGCAAAACGGTCTGCTACCCTGCCACCTTTTCCACCCTGAAAGTACTTCACGTACTTGACTTCACCACGCCTGCTAATGGCTGAAATCGGCCTTTTTTTACCATTGACACCCAACCACAACCACCTTTGATATGCGCGGCACATGTAAGAGTATCTGCTCATACAGTAGCTCGGTGGCTCTCTTCTACCACTAGCCATTGGAAATATACAGGGCTGCCGCCTCTTTTTTTGTCTATTGGGCTCGCGGTTAGCTACTTACCATAATCAATTCGTTGTCATCGATTCTCCTCCCAAGCCCTGATGCCGTTGCTGTTCGCCGTGAGAGGGAATTTCAAATTATAATGCCCCTCCGATCCTCCTACATAACTTTGTAGACAACTCCAACCTCCCCACGCTCGGCCACAGATCGGATAGCTGCAGCCGCTCGCAACTAGGTCCACAGAACAAGTTCACACACGAGAACAGCCGCCTCACCGCCCGTCGAACATCGATGCTTGCTAAACCAAGTCCAACCACCAGGCCTCTGCTCTACTCCGCCACGCGGGGTCTGCAGTCCTCGTGGAGCCACCTGCGCGTTTGGAATTCTCCGAAAAATACGACGTGGCTCTGAGCCGAGAGATTATCGAAGCACCCAAAAACCGACAGCCGCCAGTCCCTCGCGACATCTACAGATCCTCGCCTGAACGACAGGAACTACTAATGATTGGAGTACTAGAGCTTCTTCTGACAGAATCCGACGGGTGAGGCTGTCCAATGGCCAAATTCCTGCCATTCCAAGACGCGACGACGCAAATGCTCCTTCCGCACGAGACCCTGGACACAGATCACCGGTCAGTTTGGCCATGGAAGAGGTGGTTTGCGAGGGAGGAACCCCTCACCCCGCGACCCGACGAGCAAGCAGCAGCAGCGCCGCGTCCCAATCTTGCTAGGAGGATATCGAGGAAGGCCATACCAGGGCTACCCAGACCGGGAACCTTCAAGAGGCGGCAATCTGAGCTCCGGCATAATTTAGAGGCGGCGAAGGCCAAACAGAATGAGAGGCGAGCTTTCTCAGTCGACCCTCATAGTGCCGACCAGCTCTGCGATTCGCCGAAAACGTCCACATTGTCTCTACCGCGAAACTCTGCACCGACCCTAATAGGAGTGGCTACCGATGATGCTGATATTACAACGGAGGAGCAACAGGCGATCCCCGAATTAGCAGAGCCCGAAATTCTGAGAGACGATTTTGCTGAGCACCCTGGACCACATTCGATCGCTGGATCCGATGAACTCCTCGACGAGGAGCTCGACAAGAGATGGATCCTCAATCTCAGTATGCACTTTCGAGATCGATCGAACCGAGAGAAGTTCTTCGTTACATATGCGGAAACTCCGACTCACTGGCGCCGAGTCACAATATCTCTTGATTATCGGGAAGCACCGCTGGGCTCATTGGAGGAAGAACTGCAAAAGACCCAGTATCAACGTGACAAAAGTGCCAGGATCTACCTGGCAATTCGGGAGTCTCTACCCGACATCCAATTTTATGATACTGTCACGAATTTGAAGCTTCAAACGGAAAGCGACAGGCTGCACGTGCATGTCACGGAAGACATACACGAGGTCATTCAATTTCCACCAGTCTCAGCCATTAATCATCTGTACTGTCAGAGGGTCAAGGAGCAAGACCTTGTGTTCGATTCTCATCTTTCGGGCTTTGTTTACAAAGTCACGGTTAACGGGCGTGTGTTTATCAAAAAGGAGATTCCGGGGCCTGACACGGTGGAAGAATTCTTATATGAAGTCAATGCACTTCATCGACTTTCTGGTTCGGACAGTGTTATCCAATTTGGAGGCGTCATTACAAGTAATGATGGATCGCAGCTGAAAGGTCTGTTGATCAGTTTTGCGGAGAAGGGAGCCTTGATCGACGTTATTTACGATGGTAAAGACCAATTGTCATGGCCGCGACGTGAATGCTGGGCGAAACAAATCGTCCAAGGATTATCAGAGATTCATGAAGGTATTTAACAACTCCCAAACTGCCTATGCCTGACGCTGACGTTTCTTTTAGCTGGCTTTGTACAAGGAGACTTCACGCTATCTAATATTGTCATCGATGGCGAGGATAATGCAAAGATTATTGACATCAACCGACGAGGTTGCCCAGTCGGATGGGAGCCACCTGAAGTTGCTGCTCTAATCGACAGCAAGCAAAGGATTTCGATGTACATTGGCGTCAAGTCTGACATATTTCAGCTCGGTATGGTTTTATGGGCTCTGGCCATGCAGCAAGACGAGCCTGAAATTCAACCGCGACCTCTTACGCTTGCCTCTGCCCCGCAAGAGATTCCGAGCTACTATCGTGCCTTGGTTGGAATATGCCTTAGCGACGACCCCAGAACCCGGTGTCACACAACGTCACTTTTGAGCTTGTTTCCGGAAATAGAGAGCGATGACCACGGGAGGGATTACGGCAACCAGCCATCAGACCGTGCCGAGTCCCAATATATCGACCCAGCCAATGCTGTGGAGAGGGATGATATTGATAATTTCCGACTTATGGACTCGCAAACAAGCGAGAGAGGCGGGATGGCACCATCAACTGGTACACACACGTATGTGAATGCACCAACTGACATGTCCGGCGAGGCTTACTTCTTTCCTAGGAGAGGCCGGTCTCCACCGAGAAGTGCCGTTGAAGAGCATGAGTATGAGCCTCGAATTGTCACCGTATCGCCAGGAAGGCACTACCTGGAAGAATACCAGGTCAATGAAAGTGTGCCAGATAACGTGGTCGACGATTTTGTAGTGCCACATGACATAGCGGACAACGATGCCATTGGTGGCGGCGAAGCGACCGTGCATTTTGATATTGAGGATGTAGTTGGAGATAATGAACATACCAACTCAGGGGAGAATAGACATGCCATCGACCATACAGAAAATTCACCAGAGGATATGAGTCATATCGACAATGCGGCCGAGGATGTCACCTCCTCCCCTGCACATGAGATTGTGGTCACCAAAGACATAACCACTGCAATTGCAAATGAAAATGCAAGCATAATTAATGGAGATGCAATTGAGGCCAGCGCCATTTCTCTTAGAGACGAGAGCCAAGACGTGCTCGGGTCTCTTAGGAATGCCACCGAAAGCAACACCGCTGTTTCCAGAAACCACCAAAACATCCAAATCCTCGCCGCAACAGTGGCGCATGAAGATACAGACAACAAGGAAAGAGATGTTATAGAGAGCTACGTGGCTACCCCTGACAATGGCGGCGAAATTACTCTCAACTCTGCGGCGACCGTTATGAGCTATTCAGGCCACGCCCAAAGTGCAACCGAGGACAACAGCACTGTAGCCGGGTATAGAAGCGACGATATCGAGATTATGAGCGGAGATGTCAGTTATATAACTGGAAATATGGCCGAGGATCGCGACGTAGCCCCTGGAGATGGAATCGAAGAGACGCAGAACGTGGTCGTCAAACACGCTGATTGGGATGCAAACGATACCGCAGAGGATAAAATCAAGGACGATACCGTTCTTGGAGGCTCAAGCAACAGCACGGGCGATAAGATCACAGGGAACGGCATTGCCTCTGAAGAAGCTGTGGGGCAATCAGCTATCCCAGGTGATGAAGAAAAAGAGTGCGGGGAAGTCGCGACCGAGGAGTTTGTGATATTGGGTTTAAGAACGAATACAGGCACCAGCCTGCAGCACCAGGACAACAATTTGGAACAGATGGACGCAGCGATTGGCGACCTGACAGGTATTGGGGGACACAGCACCCTAGAGCATTCTCAGATTCCTCAGGGAATTAGCGACGATGATTTAATGACCGACATGCGATGATGATACTCGGGATGATATTCAGGACGATACTACAGGACGCCATTGTATTTAGTAGCGATTTGCTTTTGATTATTTGGCGGGCGTTATTGTGTTGTTATGGTGTTGTTATTGTGTATAATTGTATAGCATATCCTGGGGTTACAAAAATTCAAAAAGAAACTTGAGGCTCTTACAAAAGGTATCACAACGATATATATGTACTGCTGCGACGATATATGTACTGCTGCGACGATATATGTTCTCTGTATGTGCAAAAAGAGAAGCATTCACATTCCTTGATGGTGATGTTGAGAATATTTTGGCGCCTGTCGTGACTGTTAGCCAATCAGCGGACAGTTGATTCAGTCATTCGGCGGGGCGGAGGAGTAGGGGGCGGGGCAGAGGAGTAGGGGGCGGGGCGGAGGAGCAGGGAACAGGGCGGAGGAACAGGGCGGAGGAGCAGGGGACGGGGCGGAGGAGCAGGGGACGGGGCGGAGGAGCAGGGGACGGGGCGGAAAAGAATTGTTGGGGAAGAGAGTCCCAACACGGCATTGCAGCGGGAAGGTGGGACGATCGCAGGAATGGTACAACGATATAAGTACATCTGAGCATATAGAATGCTGTGGAATACTTGGAATGCAAGTATATACAAAAACTAGACTATATCTCAATGAGCAAATGACTTCATTCTAGTGGTAGTCGAAGTAGCAGTACCTATTCTCACACACTAATTATGCTGTGAGCCCATGTATTCTTGTGGTATAACCCACACACGTCCTTCATATGGTTTCTCACCGAAAACCTCAACAATTATCGTTTACCTAGGCTTCTCGGCTTCTTAATTAAATTCCATCACCTCTTCTTTCCCCTCTTTTTTCTATTTGCGTGACCTGCTTGTCCGAATCCAGTGGTGTCGTGCTCCTCTGCCTTACCAAAAAGGAGTACACAGGTGAGCTGACTTCTTGGGCCACCAAAACTATTTAGCTCCCTGGTATATAGTTCCCCGTCTCTTTCCTTCTTTCCCTCTTTCCATCTTCCCTTCTTTCCTTCACCTCACCACCTGTGTCGATACTCTAAACGACCATGGCAGAACCATCTCAGACGGCGGCTGATCAGCAGCCTTCCAACATGGCTTCCTCCTCGACGGAGCCTGTCCGCAACCCCAAATATGACCCCAAGAAGCCTCATATCACCGAGGAGCCCATGACTGCTGCCAATTGGTACAAGCACATCAACTGGCTCAATGTTGTCATGATCATTGGCATCCCGCTGTACGGCATGGTCATGGCATACTGGACTCCGCTTCAGTGGAAGACCGCCATCTGGGCGTTTGCCTACTACTTCATGACCGGTCTCGGCATCACTGCTGGTAAGTTGACGAGCATTGAAATCCGTTCTGGTCGAGCAGCCCAACTAACATGACACAGGTTACCATCGTCTCTGGGCCCATAGCTCGTACTCGGCAACAACTCCCCTCAAGGTCTTCCTCGCTGCCATGGGTGGCGGTGCCGTAGAGGGCTCCATCAGATGGTGGGCGAGGGACCACCGTGCTCATCACAGATACACCGATACCGACAAGGACCCATATTCCGTCCGCAAGGGCCTCCTGTACTCGCATCTCGGCTGGATGGTCATAAGGCAGAACCCCAAGCGTATCGGCCGTACCGACATCACCGATCTCAACGAGGACCCGATTGTCGTGTGGCAACACCGCAACTACATCAAGACTGTCGTCACCATGGGCATGATCTTCCCTATGCTCGTCTGCGGCCTCGGATGGGGTGACTGGATGGGCGGTTTCGTCTACGCTGGAATTCTCAGAATCTTCGTTGTCCAGCAGGCAACCTTCTGCGTCAACTCCCTCGCTCACTGGCTCGGTGACCAGCCCTTCGACGACCGCAACTCTCCCCGTGATCACTTCATCACTGCCATCGTCACCCTCGGTGAAGGCTACCACAACTTCCACCACGAGTTCCCGTCCGACTACCGCAACGCCATCACCTGGCACCAATATGATCCCACCAAGTGGAGCATCTGGGTGTGGAAGCAGCTCGGCCTCGCCTACGACCTCAAGCAGTTCAAGTCCAACGAGATCGAGAAGGGCCGCGTCCAGCAGCTCCAGAAGAAGCTCGACCAGAAGCGCGCCACTCTCAACTGGGGCATTCCGCTCGAGCAGCTCCCCATCATTAGCTGGGACGACTACGTCAAGGAGGCCAAGGACGGCCGCGCCCTCGTTGCTGTTGCCGGTGTCATTCACGACGTTGGTGATTTCATCAAGGACCACCCTGGTGGCAAGGCATTGATCAACTCCGGTATTGGCAAGGATGCCACGGCCATCTTCAACGGTGGCGTCTACAACCACTCCAATGCGGCACACAACTTGTTGTCGACGATGCGTGTCGGTGTCCTCCGTGGAGGATCCGAGGTTGAGATCTGGAAACAGGCACAGCGTGAGAACAAGGATATCTCCTTCGTCAGCGACTCCGCTGGGAAGAAGATCATCCGCGCTGGTAGCCAGGTCACCCGCATTGCGGAGCCGGTAGCATCAGCAGATGCCGCCTAGATTACATACCGAGTATATCGGCGTGGATGGATCATGTAGCGGAGCTACAGTAACGACGACGACGGCCAGAGAAGGGAGGCGAGGAGTTACGTGGTGACACAAACTTGAGAAATTGATACTCATGGTGGCCCCACAATTTGTTTTGAGCGTTGGAATGCGTAGAACTGGGAGGCGTTTCGGGAAAGGCTAATTCACGAATATTGAATCCTTGTACTTACATGTATGACTTGCGGCACCATATCCCCTTTGAATGGGTTGTGGCGGGGTGGCTTCGGAGCAGCGAATAGTTGACTCCTTAAAATAGAGATAGTTCTTATTAAAAAATGATATGAAGTTGAAGACCAACCTATCATGTGTTCATTGATTCCCACCACTGTGACTTCAACCTATCTCACCACTGTGACAATATCAGCGTAAACCCCTATAATACCCCTATACTTGGCTCAAAGCGTTATTCGTCACTTGGCGATATACGATGCGTGGAGTATATTGACGTCGTTGCTCATCCATATCAATGAGCGAGCTCAATATCTCTCACAAGCAAATCCGGTTCCTACCGAGGCACACATCACCCTGGTCTCCCAACAGAAACCAGAAGAGCTTGTTGAATCGAGTACATTCCTTTCTCAAAAGTCTCCGTGGAGTCTCCGTGGAGACTTTTGAGAAAGGAATGTACTCGAGTAACAGCTTCAACAATGTTTAGAAGTCTTGTGTTGTGTTGGAATGAATATTGCTGGTTTTTGTGGTACCCCACATTGACGACGTGTGAATGAAATCTGATGCGCACAGACGCCATATCAACGTCAACAATTGGCATGTGAAAATACAAGTTTATGATACTTTGGAGTTTCTCATTCTAACATTTTTCTATCATTATTCAAGCTAACGTTATTGGTTTATGTATACATGCTCTCCGTATTCCAGCGGGACAACCTCGTCCCCAACGTCCATTACACTCTCCTTACTTATCGGAACAACTTGCATACCAAGGCAGCCGACGTATTTGCCAGCTCCTGCATCCACATTCCTGAGTCGACGCAACGTGCGATCTGGCTCAGAGGCATGCACTTCCCCTGAAACTGGGTCGACGTTTGGGAGCTTGCATCGCGCCGTCCGGCAGGAGATGGCGAATTCGTAGGATCCGACCCGGACTCTCTTCCAGGTATCTTCTTCGTACGGTTCTGGTCCAGTAACTAGCATATCAATTAGTCCTATAGCTGAATGGGATTGGTTGGGATGATTTCTCACCGATGATGTTTGCACGAAATCGCTTCGCCGATAAACCAGGCACGCCCTTGACCTTGGGCAGTTTCCCCTCAAGATCTCGCACACTGGCGAGGTTCATGATGTGCAGAGGGTACGCATCCTGAAAGCCCATTACGGGCTGGTAGCCCAGGTCTTCGGCCTTGGGGGCGCATCTGTAGACTTCTCTCAGCGTGGAGTTGTCGACTCTGATCAAGCTCAGTTTGTTGGTGACACCAAGATATTCTTGTAACTCTGCGGGGACGTCCACTTCAAGGTTGAGGGCGTTGACGGTGTCTTTCCAGATAATGACGTTTTCGTATTTATACCTAGATTTTTGCACCTGTGAAGGGGTTGGGTCAAAGGGGACTCGGAACTGCTTCTCTGGGACTGATCCGCTGAGTCTCGCCGACAGCCTTTCAAGCTTTCCTCTCCATCCAGGTTGTTGGTAGGGGAAGCGTATGACAACAGCGCCGCCTCCCTCGACATAATCACTGTCAGGGTCATAACCCGCACTGATCTGATCAGGAACCCATACCTCCACCTTGACCGTAGCGAGCCTCGGGAACTTGCGCTGGGTGATGAACTCCCACGTCCGTACCGTTTGCTTCTCCTCCGTCTTGGCGGCCGGAGCAGGGTTCTTCAGCTGGGCAAAAGTGAATTGGCGATCGTATTCCATGCCGGTAGTGACGATGTCTGCATGATCGAGTTCTACGCCTCTGCAGCTCTTGATGGGGTAGATCCACATGCTCTGTACAGTCCAGCGCTTTGTGGGAGCTTCGCTGGTAGAGAGTGGCCATCCCAGGGCGAATTTCTTGTCAAATTCGTTACATAAGTTGCTTGCGGTCTTTATTCCCAACTTCCGGCAACCTCTGGGCTGGTCTTCCTTTGCCTTTGCGGCGTTGGATACATAGACACCCAGCGCGATGATCAGAGGTGCACATATCAAGAGTAGTGTGATAAAAAGTGCTGCGACTGGAAGATCTGCTACGGTAGAGTGTAATTGCCGATAGTAGCTGCCATCATACTCTTGAAGATTGAAGAAACGGCCGACATTAAGGACATCGAGAGTATCGGTATGGAAACTTAGGAACGACATGTTCGACATAGAGCCCCTAGGCTCAGGCTATGCAAGCAGGTGGCAGGGTATTGCTGGATCGATTGGCCGTTCTCGGACCTGGCGTGGTATGTTTTCCACAGTTCCCAAGTAGTTCAGAATGACGTTACAAGAACAAACGAAAATAATAGAAAATCATTGAATTGAACGAAGAGAAATTTGAGTCACCGAGAAATCCGCGGGAGCTCATCTGGATCGTACACAAAAATTGGCCGAGAACAGACAAATTTCGGGGTCACAGCCACGTGACATACACTTATGAAATAGTAATTAAGTTAACTAACTACCGCATTTGTAATATGAGTAAAAGATTCGTATACCCTACATCTACCCTGTAAATATTTATCTACCCCACCGCCTTCCGTGCCGTGACCTTGCTGCCGTGACCTCGCCAGGGGCAGCTTTCTCACAAATCCAGGAAGCTCGGCCAGCGTCTCGACGCTTAGGCCCAGAAGACGAACTTCTCCTTTACGGCCCAGTCGTCAAGGGCATGGACGACGTCGTCCATTTCGTAGAACACGGTGCCATGGTCAGGCACCGAGAGAAGAGGCAGCGAAGCCATGGCCACAATGAGGGCTGAAGCTGGCGAATCAGCGGTATCTTCGTCACCGTCTAGATTGCCGTTAGAGCGGCCGAATTGGTGGTGGCGTGGTGATGATGGTGGTGGTGCGGAAATTATTCGGTGGGCAGATGAATATTTACAGGAGTGATACAGGGTATATAAATCCTTTACTCTTGTAATATTCTACGCCTATAGAACCAAAATCCGTGTACGCAACCCGAGGAGATTTTGTGGAATACATGTCAGACCCCCAGGAAACCGGGCGGCAGAACGAAGACCGTGGGGAGCGTAACAACAGTCACACTCATATATTTCTAATATATAGCTAAATACATCTAGACAAAGTTACGAGCAAGAACTACCCCATTTATCCTCGCTAAATTCTATGAGGTGCGGCGCGTCTATATACAGTAGTCCCTATGAAACCTTCGACACCATATAAGGCAGATCACATCTTCGCGTCAATGTTTACCTTTCCATGCTCACATATGCAAGTAAGAGCGCCGTCAGACTTGCGCTTCATAGTGCCTGTTATCGTAGCTACAACCACAGTGAGCTTCTCATACCGCCATATATCTCAAGACAGGGAAGTTACTTACACAATCGTTTCCCAATGGCAAGAACATCGCATTCAATAATCACCGTCTCGCCCACCGGCACGGGCCTCAGGTAGGTCACATTCAGCGTCCTGCTCACGCCGAGGAATTTCCAGAAGTCGGGCTTGGAGATGGGGACCAGCGCTGTCGTGGTGGCGATGTCGAAGAGGGTGGCGGCGCATCCGCCGTGTAGGTTTCCCAGACGGTTGGCGTGGCTGGCCTGGCAGGTATATTCAAATACCACCCTTCCGGTTGGCTTGGCCGTGGCGGAGATGACTTTCAAGTCCGTGATGCAGATTGACTCTCCCCAGACCTTGATGATAATCAGTCATGTGAATACTATGCGATAGAGAGGCTCAGGCACACTTGAGAGCCGGGAATTTCTTGGACCTAACTAGGACTCCTCTCTCTTCATTGTCTGCGGACTGGGGGAGTAGTAGCTTACATTCCCCAACTCTGTTGACGAGGCGGACTTTAAGAATTCCTGCACGAGGAGGCGGTGCTCTTCATCTGCCGCGACATTGGCGCCTGCAGGCGAGGTATCGGATTTAGCCATTGGTAGCCGGGGGTATTTCGAATTACAAGAAGCGTTAAATGATAAAAGAATACACAGAATACGCAGAATACACAGGATATAGAAAAATGATGTCTATCTTGTAGTAAGATGGACCACAGAGGTAGGAATGGGGGCGTGACTGACAGGTCCGAACTAACCCCTTCGCTGGAAATAAAGGCCGCGGCTATTGAAGCAACCCTCGGCTTGGTACGTACCTTTGTACCCCTGTTCTCGGTCTTACCATACTCTGGGGATTTGAGTTCGACTATCGTCACTATAATAATCTGATAACGTGTTGGCTATGGAGTTTATTTAGTAGCAGAAAATTGTATAGAAGTCAAAAGATTGAGAATACCTGTGTAGATTTGTGTTTTGATCATAAATGCCGTTGATATTGAGCATGCTGGGGATATGTTGGTGCCTTAATTTGAGCCTTGTGGAAATTCGTCGCGTCTGTTTACGTCCAAGTCGCGTTCCCCACATCAACGACCCGATAAGCCATTCTCACCAGGCAGCCCACGACATCTACGAAGTCGCCAGAATGAGGGTCGTCGAGGTTATTATAGATGTATGTTATTTTTCGTTGCCGATTTTTTAATCCGCATGCTTACTCTTCATTACAGGGCTTCAAGTCCTACGCTGTACGCACAGTCATTTCAGGATGGTAAACAATGGCAACCGACACTATTTCCTCAACAAGTATACTGATAACCTATAGGGACGAGAGCTTCAACTCTATCACTGGTCTGAACGGAAGTGGAAAGTCGAATATCCTCGATTCAATATGTTTTGTCCTGGGTATCACCAACATGACAACAGTCCGAGCCCAAAACTTACAGGTAGAGAACCCAGTGGGACACAACAACGCTGCAGGAACTGGAAGCTTACGAACTCTAGGATCTTATATATAAGCGCGGGCAAGCGGGTGTTACCAAGGCAAGTGTGACGATAGTATTTGACAACAAAGACAAGAAGAAGTCGCCCATCGGCTTTGAAGAATATGCGCAGATCAGCGTTACTCGCCAGATTGTCCTCGGAGGAACCAGCAAATACCTCATCAATGGCCACCGAGCACAGCAGCAGACGGTGCAGAACCTTTTCCAATCGGTCCAACTCAACATCAATAACCCCAACTTCCTCATTATGCAGGGACGAATCACGAAGGTCCTTAACATGAAGGCGGTGGAGATTCTGGCTATGATCGAAGAAGCGGCCGGCACAAGGATGTTTGAGGATAGGAGGGACAAGGCCTTCAAAACTATGGCGAAGAAGGAGATGAAAGTCCAGGAAATTACGGAATTGCTCAAAGATGAAATCGAACCGAAGCTGGAGAAACTTCGGACGGAGAAGCGGGCATTCTTGGACTTCCAGCAAACTCAAAACGACCTAGAGAGACTGACGAGAGTTGTTGTAGCACATGACTACATCAAGAACCAGGAGAAACTGAAGTTGTCCGCATCTGACCTCGAAGCAAAGAAGCAACGTATGGCCGAGCTGGAAAAGGGGGCAGAGAGGATGAAGACCGAAATCACAAATCTTGAGGAAGACATCAAAAGAGTAAAGGGTCAGCGCGACAAGGAACTCCGCAAGGGTGGAAAGGCACAAGCACTTGAAAAGGAAGTCAAAGACCACACCCATGATATTGTGCGCTTGTCAACCGTGATCGAGCTGAAGCGAACGAGCATGGGAGAAGAGAAAGAGCGGAAACTGTCGGTGCAGAAGACTGTATCTGAGTTGGAGAAACAGCTGCAAGAGAAGACGAAAATTTATGACAAATTACAACTCCAATTTGTGGAAGCAAAGGATGCACTGGAGAAGCAATCTATAGAAGTGGAAACGAAGGAGGAGCTCTTGCAAACTTTGCAGACTGGTGTTGCCTCGAAAGAAGGCCAGGAGAGTGGATACCAAGGCCAAATCCAAGACGCCAGGAATAGAGCCAGTGCTGCTTCGACAGAGCAAGAACAAGCAAAGCTCAAGATAACCCACCTGGAGAAGCGGATCAAAGAAGAAGAACCGCGGGCGAAAAAGGCCAAGGAACAGAATGCGGGTTTGCTCAACGATCTCGAGGGACTGAAGAGTCAAGCCCAAAAGTTAGAGTCAAACCTGAACAAACTTGGGTTCGAAGCCGGAAAGGAAGACGAGATGTACAAAGAGGAATCTTCGCTGCAGCAAACAATTCGCACTCTTCGTCAGCAGTCGGATACAGTGAGGCGGAAGGTAGCAAATATCGACTTCAACTATTCAGACCCTGCGCCCAACTTCGACCGCTCCAAGGTAAAGGGATTGGTTGCCCAACTGTTCACTCTGGATAAGGACAAGTCTGAAGCAGGAACTGCGCTTGAAATTTGTGCTGGTGGCCGCCTATACAATGTTGTAGTGGACACCGAAGTTACGGGAACACAGTTGTTACAGAAGGGCAAGCTCAAGAAGCGTGTTACGATCATTCCCCTCAACAAGATTGCCGCGTTCAAAGCCTCAGCAGAGAAAATTGGCGCAGCAAAGAAACTTGCGCCGGAGAAGGTCCACCTCGCTCTGTCATTGGTCGGATATGATGAGGAGGTGTCAACGGCAATGGAGTATGTCTTCGGAAATACTTTGATCTGTGCAGATGCCGAGACAGCCAAACGTGTTACCTTTGACCCATCCGTACGAATGAGGAGTATTACTGTCCAGGGAGATTCGTACGACCCATCCGGAACACTATCCGGAGGAAGTGCCCCGAACTCCAGTGGCGTTCTTCTGACCCTGCAGAGGCTCAATGAGTTGACCAGGGATTTGAAGATGGCAGAGCAAAGGCTTGCAGAGCTCCAGTCCATCATGGCACGTGAGCAGAAGAAGCTCGACCAGGCGAAGAAGATTAGACAAGAGCTGGATTTGAAGAGCCACGAAATTAAGCTCACCGAGGAACAAATTGGCGGCAATTCTTCGTCCTCCATCATCCAAGAGGTACAGAACATGAAGGAAAATATTGTTCAACTCAAATCCGACTTGTCAGAAGCAAAGGCACGTCAAGAAGCGGCTACGAAGGACGTCAAACGCATTGAAAAGGATATGAAGGATTTTGACAACAATAAAGACGGGAAGCTTGTGGAACTTCAGAAGAGCCTCGATACGTTAAGGAAAGCATTGACTAAAGATTCGGCAGCAGTCAAGGTTTTGCAAAAAGAACTCCAGGGGTGGAGATTAGACTCCGAACAGATCGGTGGAGAACTCTCAGCCGCACAGGAGCAACTTCAAGAATCCGAGCTGGCGTTGAAGACCCAAGACGAGGAAATTAACGCACTTATGAAGGAGGGCCGCCAAGCACAACGCGATCACGACGCTGCGGAGGCTCAGCTTAATGACGAACGAGCGAAATTGTCTGGCTTCGATGATGAGCTGCGCTCTCTCGAAGACGCGTCTCGGTCTAAGGCGTGCCGGATTACTGAAGAGGGTCTCGAGATGCAGAAACTCGGCCACCAGATTGAGAAATTCAACAAAGAGCAGCAAGCAGCGGTCCAAATTATTTCAAACATGGAAAAAGAGTATGACTGGATCTCAGATGAAAAGGTGAACTTTGGACGCAGCGGCACGCCATACGATTTCCAAGGACAGAATATTGCGGAATGCAAGGCCAGTCTGCGGAACCTGACCGAGCGCTTCCAAGGAATGAAGAAGAAGATCAACCCCAAGGTTATGAATATGATTGATTCTGTGGAGAAGAAAGAAGTGGCCCTCAAGAACATGATGAAGACTGTCATCCGGGACAAGAAGAAGATTGAGGAGACTATCATCAGCCTCGATGAGTACAAGAAGAAGGCTCTGCAGGAAACTTGGGAGAAGGTTAATGGAGACTTTGGTGCGATTTTTGCAGAATTATTACCTGGTAGTTTTGCGAAACTGGACCCACCCGAGGGGAAGACTATTAACGAGGGGCTAGAGGTGAAGGTCTCCCTCGGGAAAGTATGGAAGCAGAGCCTAACAGAGTTATCTGGTGGCCAGCGGTATGTTCTCCCTCGCATATTCTACTCTATCCACCAAACAGTCACTGATTCAATAATAGGTCTCTCATCGCACTTTCACTCATTATGGCTCTACTTCAGTTCAAACCTGCGCCGATGTACATTTTGGACGAAGTCGACGCTGCATTGGATCTGTCGCACACGCAGAATATCGGGCGCTTGATCAAGACTAGGTTCAAGGGCTCTCAATTCATTGTTGTCAGTCTCAAGGACGGCATGTTCCAAAACGCGAATCGGATTTTCAGGACGCGCTTCAGCGAGGGAACGAGTGTGGTGCAGGCATTGACTGCGGCGGATTTCAAGTAGATAAGAGGCTAGAGCCTGGAAAGCCGGCATGCTCTTGGGCGTTGAACGGAAGGGAAGGTGCATTCGAAGGCTTGGGATGGGGTATATTATAACGAGTAATGAGGGTATTTGTATATCGATAGCAGGAGTTATTTTGGGAGAATACGAGTGATGCCGCTCGAACTATACTATATGCATATTCTTTACAACTGAAGACTCTATTTTATCATCACCCCCTATCTCAAACACCCCCGCTGATGCTATTATTCTCAACTGTTCTGACGAAAGAAACGTGGAGTTCCATGCCATACTCCAAGTACTGCCCACGGCCGTAACCATGCCCATATTAACAACCTCATACCACATTATCCTCATCTTTAATAATATCAATCCAGCCCCTATGCTTCCTCACATACGCTTCAAACTCCCTAACAAACGTCTTTGCCGCCGCCGACTTACCGAAGGGACTACTCGTACGAACGCCCCGACTTCCCTCCATATTCCTCATACTTATGCACCTCACTCTCGCCCAGTCACCAGCCCAGTCAATACCCTCCTTTTCCGTACCCCAACCCAAAGCCTTCCACCACTCCGCGCAGCCATCCACATCCAGATACTCAAGACTATACCACCTCCTCGCCAGCCTCCGCAATATCGCCGCAGCAGCTGAGAAGTCCAGATCAATAGAATGCGCATACCTGTCCTCCGCAGCGAGATTCACCACCGGCGAGCCCCTCGCGCTCATCTTTGCGTTAACCGCCGTTGCATTCGGCGTCAGGTTTGGCGCTGGCCACGACGCAAGAGACACATGTGTGAGCGTTGGTGTTGCGGCTGCAAACGCCAATAGGGCAACCCATGATGCTGCGGGGCCGGGATTGGCGAGCGAGACGTGTGTGAGTCCTATGAGTGGCGAGGCGCGGATGCTTTGGGGTGGTGATGGAGCGTCCCAGCTCACCACGGCAGGAGTGGAGTCGTTGGTCGGTGGGTGTATGAGGCGCATAACATGTTTAAGGCTGACAGAGCTAGCAACGGCGGATGCCAGATCCAGCCTGGTGAAGTCTTCATTATTAACTTCTTGTCCGCTATCGTCATCTTCGGGGAGCTGCAAGAGCCGCTCCAGCCCGATGTATCCCACTCCGTCCACGGGTCCGTAGCGGGCGATATATGAGAGCAGCAAGGTGCGCAGTCGCGTCGGTAGGGACGCTAGATGGTATTGGTTGTACTCGTTCTGGAAGTCCCAGTCTTCCGCCATGCGCCGCAGACTGTAACCTACCAACGATCCCGGTCGTGGCTTCCGTGTTATGCCAGGGAGGTGGTGCAGCGCCGGCCGGCGGCTGCCTTGGACACCATGGCTCTCCGTCTCAGGTTTGGGCGCGTGTCGTGATGAATCGAGCCAGCTCTGCGGGGGTGCAGGGCCAGCAGGTAGCCTATGACCATTTGCATCTAGGCGCTGCGGCCGACGAGGCCTTGGTGTTGGGGTGGAGGGGAGGTCGAGGAGGTTTCGAAGGGAGGGTGGCAACGTGGGTGTTTGGACGGTCGGTTCATGACTGCTTTCGGGAGAGATATAAGATCGCCGCAGGGTCTTCAGGAGATCATTGACAGATGATGGTGCATCACTTGCTATCGGCAGTTAGGTCAAGCTGTGCTTTGAGGGGTCTATGAGGGGTTCGTGAAGGGTTGTGGGGGGTAATACCAGTTGCGCCAGTGGATGTGGAGAAGGAGTGAGGGGCTGTGCTGGCGGGTTTCGAGTACAAGCTTTGGTGCCGTTTTTTGGTCATTTGACTAGATAATGGATGCTCCGTTTCTATAATCGTCGAGTATGAGTATTGAAGTCTCAGTGACTCAGTCTTCGAGGTGGATGGTGGGGGTTGTAAGCAAGGCTACGTCATAGCCTTGCGTATTCTATGATATCATGATAGAGTCTTGAATTGTGGAGACAAGCGGGCTAGATGATTATAAGGTATTGTACGGCAGTAGGGTAGGATTGATACTGTGCATATGGTCTTGGGATGGCTTTTGATGGCTATACGTTTACGACAGATTCGATATGGAGGACAACCATAGTTTGCTATGTTCAGTTAAGTTGGTTGGACAGAATTAATATTTTCTGGTTTATTTCCAATATTTATTTAGTCAAACACAACACCAAGTCGCCAACGGAGAAAAGAACACACCAGCGAGTGTCCCCTGAAATAGAAATTCAAATAACTCTTAACTAATCTACCGGCAGGCAATCTTGTCTATTTAATTATACCTAGGAGTCCCACAGACGAGGCAGAAATCGGTGAAATTATGCATCCAATATTTGCATCCAACACATTGTATACATGTATACTTGCCGCCTATATCCCTCTCATGCTTTCCTGGTACGATACGAAGACAATCATCGTATTTCCGAAGATAACGTCCCCACTTATTCCCTGGATACCTGTCATGCAGACGCTGTCGCCATTGCTTACTGAGAGCCTGAACTTGTTCCACCGCGTCTTCAGTTGGAGCAACACCATCAAAAGACGGCTCCAAGATATCTAAAACCGCCTTGGAGTATGTTTGAAAGTCGGCGGTCCCAGCACCGACAACCCAGTTGATGTCCTCAGCTACAAAACTAGCTCCGTAAAGGTAGTCAATCTCTTGGACTCCAACCGCCCAGAAAGATGGAATCAAAGCCTCAAATAGTCTGTGGTCTCGAAACATGTTGTACCAGCACCTATTCATCTGATTGAGCCGAGGCATCATGAAATCGTGATGATAAGCCTGGAATGCGTTGGCACTTTTCTTCATTATCGCCCACGAGCTCCCCTCTGGCGCAGCAAGTATTTCATGGGTAAGCATAGCCGCATAAAATGCTCCACCAATTCCAGCATTAATTCCAGGTGAGATTAGAGGATTTGTGAAACCTGCAGAATTTCCAATCGCAAGCCACCCCTCCCCGGCTACTACTGGGCTCTGGAAAGCCATGGACTTTCTTACAAAGTAAGTCTTCCTCCCGTAGTAGTTAGGGAGAATAGCGTAGCTGTTATCCATAAGGCGTTCCAAAGTTGGGTACTTTCTCTTGAAATAGGTGAATTTTCTCTCGGATTCAGTAGCCCCGTATTCTTCAAGATTATCGGGGAATTCGTGATCGTTCCTAACTGCCCATCCAATAGAGGTTATAAACTCGTAAGGACAATCAAACATTTCGGATAGAACCTTCGTCGAGGGGATGTCGCACGCAGCAACATTACGCTTAGCGTTGTCGATCACATAGGAAATCAGATCCATAAGATTACTCAGTGGCGATTTCTCCCAAGAGATGAGCTTGATGAACCATCCCCAGCCCTCTGGAAAGCAAATATGCTTGGTTGCTGGGTAGTTCCAATGGGCAAGGCGATCCTCTGCTTTAACGCCCGTCTCTTGGAAATATGCCCAATACGCATCACAGTTCCACCCCCCAAACGTCTCTCGATTTCCAAACTTGGAAGTCAATCTCCTCGAAAATCCGGTTGCATCGCAAACTAATTTGGCTTTCACAGAAGTTCCAAGAGAATGCGAAGCGTCGTCTAGCGAGACCCGTGGAGCCATGAAATAATTCATTGCTGTTCCACTATCTTGGTTGGGAGCAGCAGCGCCGTCTTTAGCACCATTAGTAGATATGGCAAAAGCATCCTCCGGCATTACTTTGAAATCAGTACCGACACCATGGTATACGTTGATTCCTATCTTCTGAGCCCACATGGTCAAAAACAACTCAGACATCCGTCGATCAAGCTGAAACGACAGGTCAAGTCCTCCAATATCCTCTGATGTAACCGATAAACCACGCTCATCGACACAATAAAACTGTAATCCATCTTTCAAGCCAAACAGACGAAGAAAGTAGTCGTGAGGAATAATATCTCCACTAACAAATCTCGAGAAAGAAGATAGTGTCGACTCTCCGATCTTCTGCGTAGGTGAGGAGCTCTTTTCAAAAACATCTATCTCCAAGTGAGGGGAAATGTTTTTAAGGTGAATTGCGTAGCAGAGCCCAATGATCCCAGCACCGGCAACAACAACATCAGCAACTCCTGTAAATTCGGTTTGATTATTGGAGTTCAGTAGCATAGAATCAGAAATGTCAGGACGGTCATGACGAAGATTAGTGAAACGACGAATCGGAATAGACACCATATCGAGCCGTGTTTTATGAAATAATTCCGCATAAATAGGAGTGAAGTCAATTAAGTGCAATTGAGGCTCAGCATGCGCTTTTGTTTAGGTGAGAAGCGTAATAAGGTGAATGGTTATGTGGTGGCAAGGACAGGTATTTGTAGGAGGGTCAAGGCGATAAGTTAGAGTGCATCATTCTACCTGTGGTCATTTAGAGTGCATGCATTCTATATGGGGCCACTTTAAATTGCATTCTGATGGAGATTCCGGGGATGATGCGGGATTTGTCAATGAATTTGTTCTGTTTTTGCGGGCGCTTCCCAAGCCTATCCCATTGGTTCACTGGTTTGATAACCAACAGCTGTCAAGAAACTCGGGGTTTCGGCCACCCCCCAGGAATCATGTAGATAGTCACGTAGCCTATCTAGTAGAGTAGATATTCAATTGATTATTATATTTCTATAACTAGAGGGTTTTAGCAGACTGGCCTTCGGCCTGACCATTACCCGTAGTAGTAATTGCCAAGCCGCCTAAGCCGCTACCCCTGCCTCACCCCGGTCAGCCCCTATTTTCGTGCCTCCGTGACTGCTCGTTTTAGTAATCAGAAGGCACGACTGAGCAGAAGTCTGCTCAGCCGTGCCCTTCTGATAATTAACGTATTTGACAAGCGAGTCGCCATCCCAAGCGAGTCGCCAGCAAAAATAAAATTTAACTATCACTACAACTACTACTACACCACCCTACATAATGACCCTTATTCAATTGTAATTGATTCCTAGCGCCTCTCGCACGTACGGGCGTTATACCCTATAGTTGTTGAAGGAGGAGGTTGCTCAGACTGATTGGTTGGGCGTGTGGCTCGCCAACCGAATCGGGTTGCGGACCACCCACAAATAGTTCTGTAGATAGCTTCACTCAGAATAACAACAATACAACACATATTCCAGTGAACTGTTGTTCAACTCAACTTGATGACTTATACTACCGCTGCAAGTGATATCATACACTTCAACACCATCTACATTGCCAGCTATAATCTGTAGGGGTCAGCTTCTATAGTTATCATAGAGTAATATATAGTATTCACCTGTTTTAAGCATAGGATGTCGTTCAAATTGTTGATTATGGCTAACTACATACGATACACTAATAATTTACTAGGGTAGAGATGGGTCTACAGTGCGACAGAGTTCGGTTATAGTGTGACAGTCCCCTTTTCTATTTGGGCATGTGGGGCTAGAGTGGGCACCTTGGCATTAGGTACGCCTTACTAAATATGTTACTGTTACATGCTAAAAGTATAATAGTAACAGTTGTTAAATTGCTCTAATGCAGCGAAATTTTGGTTATGACGATTACTAGTTAGGGCTATCTCCTATAACATACATGTATATGAGTTAGCCACCTAAGTGAGTCGGCCACTTTCCACCATTTCCACTACCTTTTACTTTGCAACTATTTCCCTCTATGACCCCTTTACTAATGAATCCATTTTCCCCCATAGCCCCTCTATGTAGCAGACTGTGCGTTAGCTAACTACTAACAACGAGAATACTAAAAGCAGCAGTATGCTAGTAGGCTAGAGGCTTGTCCGCCTTATAGATGACGATGTCTTAGTCGTCTTACAGCTTTGCCTCTAAGAGCAAGCTGCCTTCAGTCACTAGACTGACAAGATGTTCTAGTGGCTAATAAGCTGCTGCCTCTTCGAATCCCAAGGCAAAGAGAATAAGACGCTCCACTAGGTGGTAGCTAAGGCAGTCTGTGATAGGTGAGAGTTCCTAGCTCTCCTTCTAAGCAGAGAGCATGATAACCAGTCTTTGATGACAGATGCCTTAGACAGCTAGATCGCTGTCTAAGATGCCTGTCTTAAAGTCTAGAAGGCTCGACTTAATGCCTAAGGGGCTGCGAACGCTAAGACTAAGGCATCCGTAGCATGGCAGCAGTTTTCTCTCGCACTTTGGACAGACAAGATGCAGCTCTTACAAGTAGCGTCTCGTTCTTCCTAAAGAGAGGAAGATGGTGAGGCTAGCAGCCCCCCCTAAACAACCCTAGACCCTAGAACGTCTAACTCTACAACCCTGCCCCCTACAACCCATCGCCCTCACATCTCACAACGCTAACGAAGGCACACTACATCCGCCGCCCCTAGCATGCCTCTAGACCTAGAGGACCCTATCACTATAGGGCTTAGATGCCTTATAAGTGTCAGAAACTGTCACTAGTTGGATAGGCAGACCACAAAGGGAGGAAGGGGGGGAGGAGTTAGATGCAGTCATCAAGAGGCAGCTTGAGGACCTAGAGTCTAAGATTAGCGCTATTGACTAAAATGTAGCAACAATGCTTGCTATAATGGTCAACCAAAGGCATAGCCATTAAAGGGGGGTGGGGGAGGATGAGGCAATGGAGATAAGGGGAGGAGGGGTGATATACATACCTTATCATTGAAGATATGACTCCACTGTAGGTGGAGTCAAACCAAACCGATTCCTCTATTCTGCCCTTAGATGCATGTTTGTATGTTTGTAAGAAGAACAGCAGCTACAAAGTAAGCTGCAACTAGCTGTATCCTAGCACATAGTCCCTTCCTAAATGCTGTATATGTCCGTGTTGTTTATACACATCTAAGCAACCTCTCAACTTCGATGAATGGAGGACAAAGCAGCATTCTATTGCCGCTCGTCCTCCTAAAGCACAAATCGCCTAAGTAGATGCTTAAAAGGGCAAGCAGTTCCAAAGGCAGCTATGTACACTAGGTCGCTAAAGACATAAACAGTCTCACGACCCTACATTACCTATAGATAGTTAGTATAGTTATGAGCATAAGAGGGGACTTACTTAGTGGATTGCTACATCATAGCTAGACTGGCGCCACATAGCCTAGTCATTCACAAGGCCTACAAAAAGGCCAACTAAGGGGCCAACTAAGGAGCTAATTAAGCCATCTAGTGTAAGGATGCCTCCGTACCTAGATACTCGAAGAACCTGTCTCAGAACTGTTACGGTCACTACAAACATGGAATCCGACTCGGTGGGGTTTCGAACCAGTAGAGGATCATATAGCGAGTTACACTATAGTGGGGGATGGTAAGTGTATAGGGTTCAGGGCCGATGTAGACCTGTTGCGGTGGAAGGTTCAGGGCTAGGGTTGGGATAACCGAGTCGGGCCCGTTTCGGGAGTTAAGGAAACAGACTCAACGGGGTTCCCCCTTCATCTTTTTTGTATCCTTCGTAGTAGACCTATAGGATAGCATCCGTTTAGCCTCCGACTCGCACTCTCATATGCTATTACTGTGAGCTGGGTGCCCTGTGTCCTTACATCTAGTGTGTAGATGGCTTGCTAATTAATACCATGTTGACGTTTATGGCCAGAGTATACAGCTCTCTGTGGCACATTACCTTCTAGGCAATAAGTTGCAACAGCAGGACACCTCCCCCTCGTCCCGCCCTTGTCCTCCTTATGTGCTAACACCTAGTGCTAGTCTTTAGCCTTAATGAGGAGGGCTTTTAAGTGCCTTATAATGAGGGCTTCTAAGTGCCTCGTAATGAGGGCTTTCAAGTGCCTCATTAGGGCGGTAGGCAGTGAATATGCCATTCATTAGCCCCACTAATCGTTAGGGTCGATGGTGTCATGACACTCCTTCGATATTTGTGTCATGACCCTTCGATTCGCTTTAGTCTCTAGTACTTATTTCACTATGTCATTCACTTCACCTGCTTCGCTCACTTCGCTCACTTCACTTCACTTGCTGACCTAGATCAGCCCAAATGTTAACTACTGGCTTAGGCTCTCTTGTTATTGGCTCACTTCACTAGGGCTCACTTAGCTAGGGTTCAGTTAAGTAGTGCCTTCGCTTATTTGGCACTAGGGATTTTTACTGTTATATAAGTGTAATGGTGGGTGCACCAGATGTGAGAATCTAGCCACCTAAGGAAGGGATTATTTTACTAAGACAACACACTGTCTTAGGAAACAGAGCCAAAGGGTCGTAGCTTAGACTATTCCACAACACAGCAATCAGGTGTATGATGTAGTGGAGTGGTTTAGACAAGTTGTAACAAATGTTGAGTCTGAGAACTCAGGGATAAGTCAGAGGTTAGCACCTCACTGACTTTTCAGAAACAAGGAGTAACAAGATCAATGCTTGGAAGCTTGGAAAAGACGTGGAAGTATGTGATAGTCAATTTACTGTATTGTCTGCTTGCCCTTTCTTAAGGAAAGGGCAATCCTATTTATGCTAAAGGAGTGTAGTTCTCTCATTTTCCAAGACTTTCCATGACTAACCAGGCTTGGTAACTGTAGTCGACGTAAGAGAATCCCGTAGAACCATCTCCTAGGTTCCTAGCCTATAGGAAGTAAAAGGAGGTCCAAGGTCAGAGTACCCCAATAGACAAATTATGTCATAGACAAATTATGTCATAGACAAATTATGTCATAGACAAATTATGTCATAACTTAACCAATCTTGTGGGTAACTAAAGAGCGATGACATGTAATGAATCATAGAGGTTCGTAGGAGCTTTTAGAGCTATCGTTCATGTTCCTAGGCCTCTAGTTGGTAGAGATATGTCATGTGGTAGTATGAGTGATGTCATGTAATGAATCATAGAGAGTTGTAGAGATATGCTATGTGGTCATATCGGCCCAGTAACTAAGGAGCAATGACGTGTAATGAATCATAGAGGGTTGTAGCAATCGTTGAGTAGTATTGCTCTTGTTGTTGGTGTGACAAGCCAAGATATGTATAGTGACTTGTAGGTTTGAGGAGGAGATTTCTAAGTTTGCTCTTGAGTTTGATAGCAAACTGAGTGCAACGAATGTCAGTATGACAATAAGCACTTATTGCTCATGTCTCTTATTGATCTTTAGCTAGCAAATTATATACTACTTGGCCTTCTTGCAAATCATCCTGCTTCGACTTACTTTGCATCCCCTTACTTCGAGTTGAACCACTTAGCCAACCTGTTAGTCTCACCACTTGACCTTTATGGTATAAAGTATATGCTTTGGAGCCTGAACTACTATACCTTGTCCTACTGCTTCGAGTATCGAAGTCTTCACATTATACTTCAGATACTTCTCCAGACTTGAAGGTCAGCCTCGCTTCGAACTGTCCTTACAGACGGGCATAGTAGTGATGGCGGGGTATAGGCGCCTTCGACTAGATATTGCTATATATGGCAATTTATTAGCCTAGAGAGCCTAGCGCTAATTTGGGAATAAAGGGGCAGGGGCCCTAGTTACTGTCACAAGCTAAAAGTGCGATAGTAATTTAGTTGCTAAATTGCTCTAATAAACTAGAGCACCATCACATCATCTGTACCCTAACAAGCTCCATCTCAACTCCATCCCCTTTATAAATCACTCTACCTAGTGCTTGTAAATTCATACTGTGTTAGATGTGATAGTGAAGCGCCTATATATGCATTAGCAGACGTCGACATATTACTGATGCTAAATCTGTCCCGCATCCGGACGGATATGCCAATCATCCACTGTAAGGACACAGGGCACCCAGCTCACAGTAATAGCATATGAGAGTGCGAGTTGGAGGCTAAACCGATGCTATTGTAAGGATGCCTTCTCGTCTCTCATTCTAGGGAGTAGACTCTGGGTAGCTGTGGTGTAATGGTGGGTGCACCAGATGTGAGAATCTAGCCACCCAAGGAAGGGATGAATTTACTAAGACAACACACTGTCTTAGAAAACAGAGCCAAAGGGTCGTAGCTTAGACTATTCCACAACACAGCAATCAGGTGTGTGATGTAGTGAAGTGGTTCAGACAAGTTGCAACAAATGTTGAGTCTGGGAACTCAGGGGTAAGTCAGAGGTTAACACCTCACTGACTTTTCAGAAACAAGGAGTAACAAGATCAATGCTTGGAAGCTTGGAAAAGACGTGGAAGTATGTGATAGTCAATTTACTGTATTGTCTGCTTGCCCTTTCTTAAGGAAAGGGCAATCCTATTTATGCTAAAGGAGTGTAGTTCTCTCATTTTCCAAGACTTTCCATGACTTACCAGGCTTGGTAACTGTAGTCGACGTAAGAGAATCCCATAGAACCATCTCTTAGGTTCGTAGCCTATAGGAAGTAAAAGGAGGTCCAAGGTCAGAGTACCCCTATAGACAAATTATGTCATAACTTAACCAATCTTGTGGGTAACTAAAGAGTGATGACATGTAATGAATCATAGAGGTAGGAGCTTTTAGAGCTATCGTTCATGCTCCTAGGCCTCTAGTTGGTAGAGATATGTCATGTGGTAGTATGAGTGATGTCATGTAATGAATCATAGAGAGTTGTAGAGATATGCTATGTGGTAATATCGGCCCAGTAACTAAGGAGCAATGATGTGTAATGAACCATAGATGGTTGTAGCAATCGTTGAGTAGTATTGCTCTTGTTGTTGGTGTGATAAGCCAAAATATGTATAGTGACTTGTAGGTTTGAGGAGGAGATTTCCAAGTTTGCTCTTGAGTTTGATAGCAAACTGAGTGCAACGAATGTCAGTATGACAGGCGGGGTCACGTGTGATCATTTGGGTGGGCTAACCGAGTCGGAACTGAGTCGGATGGGTTTCGGGTACTTGAGACAATTGACTCACGGGGTTCCCCCATCATCTTTTTTGTATCCTTCGTAGTAGACCTATAGGATAGCATCCGTTTAGCCTCTGAGTCGCACTCTCATATGCTATTACTGTGAGCTGGGTGCCCTGTGTCCTTGCAGCTATCCTATAGGTCTACTATGAAGGATACAAAAAAGATGAAGAGAGGAACCCCCATTGGGTCAATCTCCTCAAGTACCCGAAACGGTCCGACTCCGCTAACCTGCCTTTACTCTTATCATGTGACCGTAACCTGCCCGACTCAGATCCTTTCTGTCACTGAGGGACAGGCATCCTTACATCCACCCTCGAATCTTCTATCATGTATCCCAGTTGAAGAGTCTATGGTAGAGGATGAAGAAGCATTAAATCATGACAACCACCTGTACCTACCATTCAGGATGCTAGGGACGCTTTGAATCTTCTTATTGAGTTTACAGAGAGTAGAGGTGATATCAAAACAGGTCAACTATGGGCTATTGAGAGCCTTGACCAAGATCTGGAGGCTTTGGATCAGAATGAGCGCATGCAAAGGACGCTAGATAATTGGCTACATAAGTGTGTATAAAACGATATATGCTTTAAGACGATATGGAAATGCTGGCTAGAATCCATCGTCTCAACGGTGTTGACTGTAGGTAGTTAGTTTTCTCGGTAAATAGTTATTGCGTTGCGCAAGTGGGCCGAGGCTAAGTTTATTTTTAGTGGCGGCCGCATTGGGGCGCATGCAGGAGCGGACGCACGGGCGGGATAGGCGGCGGGATAGGCGGATGACATAATTTCCTTGCCGCTCTCAAAACCACAATTAGTAAGCATACTCTAATGCTTTTTAAAGCCTCCTTAAGTGCTTTCCTTACAAATATCAATCCCCTTAATGAATTGGCTCTCAGGATAGTTTCTATATAACATTAGGTTGCTCTTCTCCACTCCACTCGACCCTCATCAAGAGATTCTCACACCCCAATCATCACCCACTCCAATATCATCCATCAATCTTGCATATCCGCCAGCCTCACGCGTATAACATCCACAATGGCCACCAAATCTAAAGTTCACGAGATTGTCATCTTAGGATCTCATTTCGCAGGCCTGGGAACTGCCCATTCTCTCCTCCGGGACATCATCCCTACCCTCTCCAAGCAAACACCGAATGTCACGTATCACGTCACAATTGTTGCCCCGCACACCGAGTACTTCTATAACATTCCCGGCCCGCGATACTTGGTTAGGAAGGAGTTAATCGATCCAAGCAAGCTTTTCTTTCCAATTGCAGGAGCATTGAAGGGATACAAGGCAGATCAGTATGCCACCGTCCAAGGGAAGGCGACTGCAGTGAACCCGGAGAGCAAGGTCGTCAGTGTTGCATTGCAGGACGGTGCAACACTGGAGATCGAATATCAGAGCCTCGTCATCGCCACAGGCACAACCTCGAATTCAAAGCTCTGGCAGATAAACGACCACCAGGACGTCACGAAAGACCTGTATCTCTCCGTCCAGGCAGCGCTTCTAACAGCAAAGCGAGTCTTGATCGCAGGTGGCGGTGCCGTCGGCGTCGAGACTGCTGGTGAAATCGCTACCCATTACCCCAAGGCCGAAATCACCATACTATCCGGCAGCGACCGACTTCTCCGCCGTCTTGTGCCTGGAAACAGTTCCTCCGCGGAGGCAAGGCTAAGCGCTCTTGGCGTCAAGACCGTTCATAAGACCCGAGTCAGGTCCGCCGCAGAGACCGCAACTGGCGCCACAACTGTGGTTTTCAATGACGGAACTACTCAAACAGTCGATGTGTACATCGACGCCACCGGCGGCAAGCCAAACACCTCCTTCCTCCCACCAGCGTGGGTGGACTCCAAGGGCTACGTGATTACCGATGGCGGCAAGACCCTCCGCACCCCAACGGCAGGCGTATACGCTCTCGGAGACGTCGCCGACTACAGCAACGGGTCGCTCATCGACGCAATGGCCTCAATTGTACCTGTGGCAACTAGTATTGGCATTGATATCGCTACTGGCGCTGGGAATGGTGAGCTATTCAAGCAGAAGCTTTTCAAGGGTATGAAGGGCACCCAGATTGTTCCGACTGGACCTAGCTCGGGAGTGGGCCAGGTTATGGGCTGGCGTGTCCCGGGGTGGTTTGTTTGGTTGATCAAGTCGAGAACGTTCTTTGTGGAGAAGGCGGAGCCGACTTGGATGGGATTGGAGATTGCGAAGGCTTGAGGGTTGTTCGTGGTGGGAGTTATAGGCGTTCTACCATGTTGGGGGTGTCTGTCAGTTTTTGTAGTGCGATAGATTGGCATGTTGTAATAATCCCGCTTCTGCTGCAGTTGAAATAATATAGAGTATTTTTTCCCCCCACATCAGTCAGTATTCACATCTACTCGTGTACTACCCAGGATAAGTCGTTTTGATTCGTGCACAGTTCCTTGTGATGATAGCTCCCTGGCAACAATGCCTCCATTACCACGAGTGATTTTACTCGCCCATGGCCCATTTTCTTGCCAAAGTAGGCATAGGAAATACTGCGGGCCGTCCCGTACACAATTGTACGTCCATGATAATCTTACCCCTTTCCCGCCAGAGTACTCTCACTTCATACAATGCTTCTCAACACACAAAAGTAATCAGATGTCCACCCATTCATTACTAACAAAGCAACAAAGACTACGCGGCTAACTGTGAGGGGGAGACTGATCGAAGAGTATCTCGTCGTCAACATCGCTTCATATTCCCGCAAATCGCGTGTACATTTTGTCCCCCTTTTCCTTCCCCATCTCCACTCCGTCTGTCATTCAAGCTGGGGGACCCGCCATGATACGGCCCAATCATAGCTTCACTTGGTCCCCGTCGTTTTTGGTATTCTTCGCCCCTCCTCCATTATCTTTCTATCGAGCCGCCACACTGGCTTTGTCCATGCTGTTGCAGCATCCCAGTCGAACCAAAGCAAAAAAGCTCGACTTATCCGAAGCTATTTTCCTTTCCTGCATGAAAACCTGTTTGCCCCCCTCCCCAAAAAAATAAAAATAAAGCTTATTTAGAAATATTGCTGAACACAAACCTCGCACATCCGGGCCAAGTATAGCCCGTCCCGTTCCCCACCGTAGACTCCGTGTTTCCTCATACCCATTTTTCCATTTTTCCCCTACTCCTTTCGCCACATTGCGTATGCGCAAGCTATTTGCCGCGTTTTTCCCTTTGATTTGTCCCATGTTCAATGTTTTCCTACAACCGATGCCCAGTTGATTAGTTGCGAGGGAAATGAGATTTCGATCTGCTGGATGATATGTAGAGACGCAATAAGACGTAAAAATAGGCAAGAAATAGTATGTTTTTCAAAAATCAGCCGCTGAAGCAAAGTAAGTGCCATCGAACGGTGTTATTGAAGTTGTCGTGGCATAGAGCACTAAAGCGAGCGGCTGATCAAAATACATGATAGTACTCAAACATATCCTCATAGTCCAGGCCAGGGATGCCAGGTTCGAATAGATTGGCCTGAGGGCCAGGCAGCTTCAGGTCATCCGGGGTCTCACCTCGGTCATTTGACCTACAAGCCATTTGTGAGATATCATGAAGTATTTATCTCGGAGTGCACTATCGAGGTGCTTGGATAGTAGCCCCTGGAGGTTGGCACGCCATCGAAACGCCCGCAGTTGCGCCCAAATGAGTCTTGTGTGCCATTCGAGAGGCTCGGGAGACTGAAGCCGGTGTGGTGCTCCTGCTTTACCCGTCCTGGGTAGCCTGGGGTTGATAAATGGCTGCGATCATCCCGGTGAGGTTGGTAAGGCGGTAAAGCGTGAGAGCGCAGAGTGCTGCCAATACCGCCTTCGTGCACTGAATGTGGGTAATAATAGTACCCCTCAAGGTCGTGAAAGGATTTTTCCTCGTCTGCGCCCATCATCGGCTCATTGGAGACATCTATGCCTGCGCTTGATAGATATCGCCGTGATCTGGAGGTATCATATAAGTTGCCGTAGCCGCCACCTGACATCAGACTAGACCCTCCAGAAAGTGATACATCGCCAGAGCGCCCCCCAAGGCTTCCATTTGAACTATAGCCGCCAATACTACCACCTTGATCATTGGCACCCCCTGGGCCTGCGCTGCCATTGCTACCTCTCCTGTCTGCATGGTAATGGCCTGGCGACCGACCACGAACAACCATCTGTGCGGATACCCGCCGTGCAATCTTAGCCCACCTCCGGTCACCGTGCTGTGAGCCCAGGTCTGCATGCAACTCAATGATTAGATGGTAGTATTGCTGGCGAGCTCGTCTTTTGCCATTATTGGCTGTCGCCTGCTTAAACTGAATACGCTCAAAGGTACATTCTGTAGGGGGGCGGTTTGAGACCTGAGCGTAGTTTGGGTCGAAAAGCGGGCGCCCTCCACTTGAGAGAGTACCATCGGCATTGATACCATTGTATAGTGTGGTATTGACAGGGCGAGGTAACAAAACGACGCGATCTGGTTTCATTTGGGGCCCTTTGTCGCGCTTCGGTGTATGCTGAACCAACTCGATAGGCTTTCCATGCTCCCCGTCAACGACTGCAGATATCGACATTGCAAATGCTTGTATTTGTGTCGATTGGCCTTCTTGCATAAGATGCATAGTAGTCCCTGTTGGCACGCTTGGATGCAGCGTGTATGAGCAACTAATCTGGAAATAATTACGCCTGTAGCAAGTCCAGTCGTTCTCTGCCAAAAAGAATCCTTTGTCAATCTTTCCAATAATTTCTGGTCGGACCTGTTGCCCATCTGCAGTTTGGATATTTTGGTATAACAGCTCTGTTGGGTTCAATGGAGGGGGCCCGTTTGGATTATTTGCAGGTTGTGGGCTCTCCATGCCTTGCGGGCTAGTAAAGCCACTACTAGATGTAGGTGACATCTGCATATTCCTCATTGTGCCAGCTGGCGGCGGAGAACGAGTTAACAGCTCAGAGTGGCGCCGCAGTTGCTGGGAATTAGTATTGTACGGATCTCGTGCCGACATAGACGAGGAAAGTTGCGGGAGATGGGAAGATCTAGACGGTGGGAGCATATCTGAGTTTGAGCTACACGTTCAATTTATTAGCTTTGCTCTGGATTGGTTAACGTCTAAGTGGCGATATCTGGGTAACGTACAAGGAATTGAAGTTTTGCTTGATGTCGGGCAGGCAATAATTCGAGAGGTTTGAGGGGAGGTACGAGGGAGAAGTGTTAGAGTAAGATGAAGAGTTGGTCAATGCTGGTGGGAAGACGTTCGAATAGAAAGGTACTGTCGAGGGTGTCGATGAGGTAAGGTTTGGCTCACCAGAGTATACAGGACTATGCTGCGATGTACCTTCGGAAGGAAATCTTGACGCACGGGTTAGCCCAGGGTCGATAAAAGAGTATGCAGTTCACCAAAGCTTTCATGGACGAAAATAAAAACGCCAAAAATGACAACTACGTTGGGTTCGTGATACGACACACAGCCTTAGTCTCTGTGCTCTCCCTGCATGACATACGTGTCTGCATCAGACTGAAAGCGAAGCCCAAGCTGTGCAACAAAGGGGGTGTAAAATGACAAGTTGCCTGGATAGAACTCGCTGCCTGGATAGAACTCGCTGTCAATCCTAACATCTACCAACTGTGGGAAGTCAGGCGGCAGCCGGATGAAATGTCCTATAATGGGACAAGCCTCATGAGGCGGAACAGGTAGGGGTAAGAAGTGCGGGAATATCGGCATGTTAATGCCCAATGCCAGATCTATCAGTGTGATTCGGATCGTAGACAATAGCAAACGAGGGTGATAAAAGCCAATCAATTAACGCGCTTACCGTGCATCATCTGAGGCAGGGATGCCCATATACCGCAATCCCATCCCGGATGGCGCTGGTGGTTGTTGGTGTGTAAATTCGTGTCTGAACGTGTTGTCAGGCTCAGCGTCTGATCCGATGATAAATGATAAAGATTGAAGGCCGGGATAAGCGTTAAGATCTTGTATATTACCAGATTGCGTAGACATGAGATGATCGTATGCCAGTGCAGCCGGTTGAAGTGCTGTATCAAAAGGTCAGCGGGGTTGCGACCGTGGCTTAGAAAAATGCAAGGCGAGATGGTCGCGTTGAGCTGGAGCAAAACTCCGGATCTTCAGCAGCCACGTGGAATATCACACCAATAGATTCAGCGACATGAGTTCTACTTCTCACGGAGCTTAAAAGCAGATTCCGAACCCTATTGGCAACACCCGAATGGCTATGAAGCATGAAAATACCGCTGCTAAAAAAAACTGAGGATGGAGAGTAGAAAACAACCAGGGACGGGTTACCCAAATTGGCAGGATGCGAGGTTATATCTGGGGATGCCTAGAGACCCATGCGAATGAAAGCAAGAGGGCCCAAGAGAAAGTACTTTGAGTGCACCTGGGCTGGGGGGTTCGTTCATGGGGAAATAGATCTTTAACTACTCACTTTCGGTCATTTGAAGCCCTGCCAACCAACGTGACCCAATGCCTGTTCGTCCTTGGAGAAGCTCAGGCGCCAATTTCAACTGGTATTGTTTGGCTTCGATTCAAGGCGTACCGGGTCGTAATGGATAAACGGTGGCGGTATGGGTGGTGTTTGACAAGTGATGATTGTCACCAGTAGGCCGCCAACCCGTAAGCCAGCCGACTGGAGTGGCTGCAGCCCGGTCCTCTATGGACGGAGGGAAAAATGTGTTGTATTGTTGTGGTTTGCGGGTTGCTTATGGACGGCGGACGAGAAGGAAACAAAACAGGTGAGACGATTGGCGGGCCGCGAGGGAGTGATATGAAGGTGGTGTAGCTTCGAGTTTGACTTGATATTCGCCCAGGAAACCCTGAAGAGGTTGTATCGGGAGCGGCGTCACTCGCGTATTTTGAGGTTGGTCGACGACCTCGACGAAAAGGTGACGGCGATGAGCCAAGGGGGGGCAGCCAGGTCACTTTTTAAGAGTGAAGTTATGGCAGCTAACCGTCTAGTAGACTTGACAGCCCTGAGTATCAGCAATGTCCCTTATTGTCGCAATGTCACGACGTGTTTGGGTGTTTGGGTGGTTTTGGGCGGCTAATTGGCTGAACGAAGACTGGCCGGAAAGTGTGGGATCTGGGCCTTCGCCTGTAGCTGCACAGCCCTTCAGCCCAGGTTATCTTGTTGCGTGAACCGGATTGCCAGAAAGGGGATCAATCCCAGCAACTCAAAGGCCCCCAAGTACCTTTTGTTTCCCCGCCCCGCCGAGTATAGGGCCTCGAGAAGGGAACTCTCAAGAGCTAGAGAGAAGCAAACTTGACGCCAGCTTCCGTTGCTGTACCGTTGGCGAGAAGATGAGGAGTATGTGGCGTGTATCTAAATCAAATAATAAAAACAAAAGGGCAAATATAAAAAAAGAAATACTAAATTGTGTAGTGTTATCCGCCGTGGGAATCTGACCTGTAACTTAATGCTTTGACCCCTGGCTACTGTGCCTTTATGGCTTCTTTGGCGAATAACGAACAGCCCTTGGATAATAAGGAATGGATAGCGAAGATGACAACACCTCTTCCTCCCAAAGGCGAGAAGAGAGATGGAAGATGCGACAGTGGTACCTCTTTCTTCTTCCCCCTGCACACTGGTGGCGAGATATCCCCAGCGTAGTAGGTTGGCGATCGACTCGATCGAGAGATTTGAGTGTGTCCTGTGCAGTCCCGTCGCACCAAAAAGCCTTCTGGGTTGATAGCGGGTTTGCCCAATTTTGGGGCTGGGTATTGGCCCAGGCGAGGTCTAAGGCTGGCGAATCTGACGGCGGCGGGCGAGTGTGGCTGCAAGGGTTGGAGACCCAATCGTGCGTGCTGCAATGTGAAGTACTGTATGCAAGTATGCAAAATACCAACAGCGGTGTAGAGACTTGCTTTGCTTCTTAAGTCCAAGGCGTAGGCGTCTCTACGTTGTTTGTTGTTTTGGACAAGGTTGAATGAGTTGTTGAATGGGTTGGACGGGTTGGACAGGTTGGACGGGTTGAATGGATTGGAATGAAGCCAATACCACCCGTGAGCGATGTGACGAACAGAGGCTATGGGATTGAGAGTATGTAGAGAGAGTATGGATAGTATGGAGAGGGGCAAAACTCTTTCCAGCAAACCCGGCCAGCAAACCCGGTCTGAAGGCTCCGAGTAGTCTTCAGATCATATGTTGTTGCGACAAAAAGGCAATTGATCAATATCAAGGCGAAGCTTTGTGCAGAAAGGAGGATGGCCGTTGACTTTATGTGATCCTGGTGCACATCATAAACATCCACCATCCACTACCCACCCTCTCTCTCAAAAGCTGCAAATCATAATAGAGGCTAAGCACGTGGAGCACCGTTCCGTAAATAAATTTTATGCAGGCGTGCGCTTATCTAACTAGCCCCCTTTCTCCAGTCTGAGGGGATTTTATCCATCCCTCGCTCACCTACTGCCTCAGTTGCGGTGAATCTTCTCGCAATTGGGAAGTCCGACGACAGAAGGGCACAAGAGCGGCAGATGAGACAACCTGAAAACAGCACTGGACCGTAACTACGATCTAGAAAGCTTCGTTGCGCAAGATTCAATACTAACACCCACAAATACTGACTGAGACACCGCTTTGAGAATGAGAGTGGAGAGGGGTTGGATGGATGTGAGCTGGGGCTGGGGGGGGGAGGAGTAGGAGTCTGACTGAGATGCCCGTTGACGGTGATTGAGATCGAGGGGGCGAGGGGCCAAGGTCTTCTCTTTGCACCCATGCCACATCCACAGCCTCACCAATGATGAAGCAGTAGTGGTACGCAGAGGATCTGATCTACAAAGCGAAAGATCAGCTTTTGACTGATGCAGGACGAAAAGGGCGCGCATGGACGGGGCATGGGGGGGGTAGATTTCAGGATGGCGGGTGCCATCATCCTTTCTATTTCGAGTGACCTCCTCATACATACACACCTATGGGGCCGGATGATGCAAAACCCGGGTGTCGCTGGCCACTAAGGAAGCATGCACTGTGCTGTGCATACAGGGCAATGACTCCTTGTACGTGCCGGTGCTGGGAAAACGGAAGGAGGAAGGAGCGAAGGAGCGAAGGAGAGAAAGGGGGGTTGCTGGCGCCAACAGAACAACGGCAACAACAGGTGATGCTGTATGAACCTTGTTCTGGGACTGTATTTGGAAACTTCCATGGGCTCATTGTTACCCCACAGCAGTTGGGTCAAATACCAATATCGCTCATGGTAGTGAGTAATTCAGTGAAGTTCAGTGAGAGAGAGACCCTTTCTGCAATCCGTGCCCTTGAGAACTGGCTAGCTCAACCCTCAGTTCTCAGCCCTAACGAAATAACTAACTTTTGATCTAGGTCCACAAAATCTTTAGATTCTAGTGTCATCGATCTATGATCTACGACTTCTCCTTGCTGTCGCCCCCATCATTTTCTCTTTACTACCTGGGCGTGGGAGTAAAGTAAGTGGTGGCGCCACTGCCCACGACATTCCAGCCTGGGAGGCAAACTAGGGTATAACTTACCCGTTTCAACCAAGCAAATGTCGTGCGTGCATCAAGTGTGCGTCAAATACCCACGTATGCCTGACAACCCGGCAAGCCCCAACGTGTTCTTTCTCTCTCTTTCCTTACTCCTTACGTGAAAGAATTGGTGGGATCCCGGTGATAGGTGCTCTGTGAAGTGGGATTTGCCGGGCAGAGAAACGTTTCCAGGTAGGATCAGACAGGGCCGATTGCTTACGAGCCATACAATCCATAGTCATATGTCTCTCCCACTCCAACCCAACTGTTCATTGGCTAACTCGGAAGGCTCCTGCCAAACTTGCAAGGAGTGGAGAAGCATCAAAATCATATCCTACCTGAAATGCCTTGACAGATCCGGCGTCATCTTCCAACCTAGGCCCATTCCAGCCCCTTCTTACCACACATCCGGTACTGACATCTGTGGAGACAGTCCGTATTGATCACTACCCCATTTTTTAGCAGGTGCGGCTGGAGGTTAGCCATCCTGATAGATTGCTGACGCCCTTCACTATCGTTTCTACTATTGCAACTGGTTTTCCCGGCTACTGGATTGCGCCCACATACTACTAAAGCTGCAGGTAGAAGCGGCATTGCGCCCACTCTACTTTTTCACAGGGTTTGATTTGACTACCGGGATAGCTGTCGGGTGAGCCTGATCGCCAGGTTATGTCTGAGACCAAAGCAGAGCTACCTGCACAGCTTGCTGTCTGGAGTTTACGAGGACGAGCCATACTCGTCCTCGTAAACTCCAGACAGCAAGCTAGCGATTCCAGCAAGCTCCTCAACAGTTGCCAAAAAGGAAATACCGTCCCCTACACCACCCTAGTTTAAAACCTCTCTCACAATAGGCGCGGCAGGGTCCCATCAATGTCTACATAGTAGACACGCCAAGACTACAATTCTTAACGGTGACTTGGTGCTGTGTTCTGTATCTCCGGCACCTGCTCTTCGCTGTCTATGCACTGGGGGGGAAACGCACTGCATGGTGTATTTGTTCGGGCCTTGCTACCATCTCTCATTCTGCCTGTCTCCATGAGCCCCCTAGCAATTTCCTACACATCGCTCACCTGCTTGCATGGTGTTTCTCAGCTTGCCACCCACTTAATGACAAGACATAGCCACCGCACAATGAAACTACCACATTGGTACTATACTATACATTCGGAATGTATTTGTGGTGTTCGGGTATGCGCTGTGCCTCAACTCGTCCTCCACGTGAACAATAGAGCTGTGACTTTCTTCTCCGCATTCCTACATTGGGAAACGCCCAGCTGCAAACACAAGCACACCAACACATTCTTGACCGGTCGCTTATAATGATTTGTATACGTTGATAGACAAACAACGGGCCATCTAATCAAAACAATGTAATTCATTAGGCAGGAAAGCGGTGGATTTGCAGCCAGCCTTCCGTCCGACTCCTTTACTCGGTAAACACCCCCGTCTCCTTGCTTACAGGCATACTTACAAAGTACATTCGGCCTCGAGTATGCAGAGAGAAAGTAAGCAGACGGGAAAGACATACAGACAATGCCGTCTACGGAGCGGACCCGTTGCCCAGATAAAGGCATCCCGACGAGACTACATGGTACTCCCGGCTTATCACACGGAACGGACCGTGAGCCCTGCTCATAACGTGGATGTGGTGAGTGCCATGTCAAGAGACTTGTCAAGAGACTTGGAGGGTTTCAAAGCATGAAGGGTTGGTGTGCATGTTATACTGTCAGATCACGATCTGTACAAATCAGCCTTGAACTTATTCTGGAATTCTGAACGTCGCACTGCGCCGGCACACACTCCCCAGCCTCTCACTGACTTCATTTAGACCTGTAACCTCAGATCTTGTATCATCGAAACTTGCCCCCAACAAGTCTGGTGGACCAGCTCATGGGCCATCCTCCCCCACAGCCATGCTAAATCACGGCCCAGGAATGTTTCCAATACAACGGTGTTTTGGTACAGCTGGAATGCGACATACACACCACCGCGCGGGCTGCATTGCCATCCAATCACAATACAGCAAATCAACTGGAAGATGAGGGGTCTAAATGCTAGGCTCGAGCACACCCTTTCAAACAAAATGTTGTGGTTGGTTGCATATCAGCCTACGATAACCCTAGTCGTTCCAACACTGCTAGGTGCTCGCGTCCCAAGTAGGTAAATCCGTCACATATAGTGGACATTCCAGAGATATTATTATTGAATCACAGCGGAGCAAGCCTGGGGGATTATTCAGCCAACTGGAGCTTGTGAATGAGGAAAAAAATGCGGCATGCTACAGGAGATGAGCTATGCAGTGAGCCGTTAGTTTGATTGATTGTACGGATGTCAATTCCCACGGCTCTGGGACACCTATCCACAATGCCTGCGTGGCTTCGGGAGGTGAGTTGCACAACCTTTTGTAACAGGATCAACCGACCACTATGGCGGAGATGATCTGCTGTCAGCGTTGCTCTGGTACACAGCAAAACACTGCAGGTCTCCGGTGTGATGTTTGCTAACTCGGTCCTAACAGCTTCATCCACAAAATTAGAAATGCAGAGGCATCCTATGTGCTGCACAATGGCTGCCTGGATGGCCCGCTGTCAGTGATTTAAGGTAATTGCACAGTCCACTTCGTGCAACTCTCATTACTGTCTGTGTTTCTCATACCTGTCCGTGTCTCTCATACCCGCCTGTGCATCGTCATACTGCCCTTATTCGGGGATTATGGCCACAACATGCTGCTGCAGTATAGACCAGGCATGACGCGTATCTTGATGCAATTTCTATCACTCTCAAGACATCTCTCGGCCTACCTGCTTTGGCATAATAATAGATGCATGTGTCTATCAGTGGCAACGCTCTGCGCGTCGAGGGTTCAGTCCAGCCTGACGCGCGGCTGCACGTTAAATCTTGTTCCTTGCCTCTCAACAACAGGGTTTCTGACGGGAAAGGAGAGATTGGCAGAATGGCTAAAATGATTGGCGGTGGATGAATATCGGAGCGGCTGTGTTTATTTGAGAGACGTTTGCAGACGTGTTTGTACGCCCCTATCTGCTCCTTTTTCGTTTCTAGTTTTCGTCAGGGCCCGAACATGGACAAGTCACTGCCAAATGCATCAAGCGTCCCACAGCAGGACTATGTGTGACGGCACTTTCCCGGCTCTCTCGAAAGGCAGGTGCAGCCGCCAGAGCCGTGGAAATCATCCTACTTGCCTTCAAGCTCCAGCTGCCAAGCACACTCCTATGGTCTCCTACGAATCGCCAGCCAGGATGATGGCGAAACCTTCCAACCCTGGTATAAGCGCACAAGATGGCGTTTATAGAATCGAGATGATGGCGAACCCTCGGCGAGAAACCAAGCTCAGTTATCGCCACCGTGCATCCTACAGCCACAAGCAACGAAGGTGAGGGACAGATGAGAAGGTTTACTAGACAGAGTACAACGATATAGATGCATTGTTGGATACGCCGTGTCCAACGGGCTCACTGGTCTCCAATTCGCAGCTGAACGAGACCTTAGCCTCGGTCATCGTTGCTTGTGTCCCCTGAGTGATGATCAAATCCTGAAATGGTTCACGTCAGCTCAGCTCTACCTTGGGATGCCTTTCCAACCGCTCACGATAACCTGCCTTCTTCGGATTCCAGTAGCGCTAGTAATCCCAAAATTATCAAAGCACGCTCTATAAGCAGAAAGTTGATTCTAGCCTGCGACCGAAATTGCTCGCATGACACCCTACCCACTTTCTACCCGCC